AAGAATTTCCCAGCATTTTATGAAACCCGAAGGTTCATTACCGTGTTCACAAGATCCCTCCACTGGTTCCTATCCTGAGCTAGATCAATCCAATCCATACCATCCCATCCTATCTCTCTAAGATCCATTTCAATACTGTTCACCCACCTACGTATTGGTTTTCCCAGTGGTTTCTTTCCTTCTGGATTTCCCACCAATATCCTATATGCATTCCTCGTCTCCCCCATTCGTGCTACATGTCCTGCCCACCTCATCCTCCTTGACTTGATAATTCTAATTATACTTGGAGAAGAGTACAAGTTATAATTAATATAATGCATGTTCAAAAATACAAAAATACACCTTGCGGAAGAAGATAAGCTCTGTTTTAACTAGCCTATATGCTGGAATAGAGTTTTTAGACAGAATGGCTGATGGGATGCAATGCTCACAGGGTTGATTATCACTGATGTACAGCATTAGTTCTGACTCATTCTGTAAGGACTCAATGATCTAATTTGCATTTCCCTGAAAATGCATTTAGTCTTGAAATGTAAATACAGTGATATATTATTCAAATTTGCGTTTATAATGTGAAGATTCGTTGTATAATAAAAATTTAAACGTTGTCTTCAGTATAAGTTAAGCAATGGCAATAATGTTAATTTTGCATAGATAAGAATTTGGTAGTTACTGTTGTGTGAGGCTATTTCAAGAACATATCTATGGTCCTAGACGATGCACTGTGCACTTTCCTTATATATTCAGCATTCTTAATTAATGAAACTCGTAAAACAACGATGTTGCCATGGGCGTTTCCTTTCAAGATAGACCACCAGACAGGCTATCAGGTGAAAGGAGAAATCTCCCAACTAGGTCACGCCTTCTCTGCCGCTTTAGCTGGGGCATGAAGGTCAGCTTCTTCTGCAGCGGATTCCTGAATTTACCTTTACGTTTATCTACGGCCGTCTGGTTCCATGCAGAACACGGCTCAAGGAAGCGTCATCACAGAACTGGCGAATGAATTCCTGTTAAAACTCTCTTCCATCTTATATCTCTTGAATAACCTAAAGCGACTGCCTGTTCCCATACTGCTCAAAGCAGTTTTTGTGCCTGATTTCTCTTTGTACAGAGTGCAATTCAAGTCCCCCTTCCTTTTAGTTCTGAAAGCACTTGCAAGAAACAAAAAAGAACATGAAATAAAAGAGAAAAGAAAAGGAAAATAACAAACTTCATGAAACAGGTCTTTGTAGAACAGCTAGTAGGCTTTCATCTAGCCAAGCTTCCCTTCGTCTTTTATGGAACCCGAATGTTCATTGCCACATTTACAATAACCCACTACTGGACCATATCCTGAGCCAACTGAATTCAGTGCACGCCTTCCCACATAATCATTTTCCTCTCCCAAATTTATCTCTTCCCTTCATCTTTTCCACCTGAAATTTTATATGTATACCTCGTCATGCGTGCTACCTGCCCGCCCACTCCGTCTTCCGTACCTGAGATGAGGAAGAACTCGTCTTGTTTTCTGTTCCGTCTTATAAATTTCTCTTCCTTATTGTAGCGTTCCCTGCAAACCTAATGCTTCCTGAGGTAATAATTCATAAGTTTCTCATGTTGTAGTCTGCTCACAAACTACGCACAGAATAAAATAAGTATAAAATTTTAAACAAGTCATGATTCACATAAAACAAAATGAAGTGTATGTAGAAGAGGCTTGGATTGTTTCTGTTGTAAAATCTTTTGCAAGGCATAAACTAGTATACTGTACATAGACTACTGATATGCGTGTATACTTGAAACTGCAGTGACTGGTTAAGATTCCTATATATTCAGAGTCCCGGGGTCTGAGCTCAGCTGTTTTTAATTAGGTGTCCACTGTTTTCTTTATTTTCTACAAGATAATACCGGGAAACTTTCTAACTTTTATTCGTTCATATATTCGACATTTGTCACCAAATTCATCACAATCTTTGTATGACATGCGGCAAAAGAAATGGCGGAAAAACAGATAATCAGATCCTCCTCTGCAAGTCAGTCCTGTTAGTAGTGGGACGTGAGAGGTATATTTTGTTATATTTTAGCGTCCTGTTGCACTGATTTAAGTCCATGATTTATTTCACCGTCTTCTAGTGCATATACTTATCTACCTCACTCCTCTCTCTCGCACTACATGTTTCGGCACAAAAGTGCCATCTTCAGGTGCTTATTCGATTAACGTTAAACTAGTTCACTGCATGCCTTGTCGTCTTCATATTAAAATAATGAAAATATATAATATATTGATAAATATTAAATATTAAAAAAATTAAAATTGTTCAGGATTTTTCCTACGTCTTACGTCGTAAGGTGTATTTTGCCCTTGTAAAAGCTGATTGTTATACAGATTTTGCCTGTGATTCTGTATGGTTATGAAACTTGGTCTCTGGCATTAAGGGAGGAACATAGACTGAGGGTGTTTGAGAACGGTGTTGAGGTTAGGGACCAGTGGAGGACTCTTGTGAACACGGTAATGAACCTTCGGATTCCAAAAAATGCTGGGAAATTCTTGAGTAGCTGCAGAATTGGCAGCTCCTCCAGAAGGGCTCAGCTCCGTGAGTAAGTAAGTAAGTAACAGGAAGATACTCTGTACTGAATATGTTAAGTATTGCAATTTTGAACTGTGTGTATTGCAGCTGAGAACGAGGAGGTTACATATGCAAAGTATTGGCAGTGGTAATTTCACAAATTCACCTTTACCGTACAAACTAGACCCATTAACAGTAAAATTGTAATGTGCAAAATACATTACAATGTATTTCACGCTTCAGGAATTTCCTAACCATTTCAGTGAGCTTTTAAACACAAGTACTATTTCTGTCGATGCCCTCACGGTTAAAACGAAGGCCACATAACTGACATAGCTGATGCATACGCTTGGAGTGGTTCCGTCATGCCGTCAGACATAAAGGTGAACGCCCGTCCCGTTACTGGACAGCGCAAGAACCTCTGCAGCTCGTCTTCCGTATCTACAATAGCATGTTGTAAAAATCGAGGTTACTCCACTGATGATAAACAATGGAAACATACTTTGCGCTCGCGATCACGATTAATCGATTAGAACAATTCTACGTATGTTTTTAATTATTCCGTAACTGTAAAGACTGTCGATTATTTGACAATGTGGGGACATCTGGAGAGGCTACTTCTAGTGGCAAGTGAGATACAAGCATGACAATGTACGAGGAATTGTGAAGGAAATGGTTTAAAGAACAATTCGCTCGAGGAGATCGAAAAAAAAACACGAAAATCGTGTGAAGTTTGCCAGCTGCTCTTTCGTCATTACAGGCGAGAAGCACCGAGAGCCCCCTCCCCGTGTCGATTTGTTTTCCTTTACAGTTACAGGCCTCGTTTCGTGATAGCTCAGTCGATATTTAAACTAGGTTACGGGCTGGATCGCCGAGGAACCGTGGTTCGTTTCCCAGCAGGAGCAATACAATTTTTCTCTTCTCGATAACGTCGAGATCAGTTCCGGGTCCCACCCAGCCTCTTATACAATGCGAACCGGAGTCTGTTTCACCATGGGTAAAGCAGCAAGGACGTGAAGCTGATCACTCAACTCCATGTAGTGACGAGGTTAAGAATGATGGATCTCTACCTCCACTGTCCACACTTCATCACGGCGTGGTGTTTGATTATTGAGCTCTGGGATGATTTCACATTTTCATTAACTGTAAGAACTCTGTTTTATGAATTAATTCCGAACACTCCTTTGGTCAGCGTTTACAAATTTTTAAGTTACATCATTGTAAATTGGGGCTTAAGCCCTGAGATTCCTTCTTAATCATAATTTATGAGATTACTGAAAACTTAATATTTTATCTTTTTTTTACAATGGCTCTTCCAACCCTTTCAGGGCCCAGGCCTCTTATTCAGTTGCATAATAATAGGAGTATTTCATAGACGGTAGGACTCCTGAACGCGTGATCAGCTCGTCACAAGGCCGCTATCTAAACACAGGACAACACAAACACACAATAAACACATACACCAAAAATCCATGCCCTGATTAGGTTTCGAACCCACGAACCCTGCATCCGAGCGAGCGAAGGCAGTTCATGCCTTAGACCATGCGGCTACTGTGACCAGCTAATATTGTATCTAGTCATTGTAATTTATTGTAGAAAGCAGCATATAACGTAATATATTTTAGTCACTCTTTGAGGATCTAGGCATAGATGGGAGGATAATGTTAAAATTAACCATAAATAAATAAAATTTGCTTTTTTGGATGGATTCATCTGGGCTCAAGATAGGGGCTAGTTGCTGGCCCCTGTAAACATAGTAATGAACCTTCAGGTTCTGTACATAGTAAAAATTTCTTGACTTTTGAGCTTCTAGTAGTTTCACAAGAAAAACTCTGTCATGTATAGAGGCAAAAGTTAAAGTTGTCCCTGTACTTAACAAATTAAGCACTACAGCATGAAGGCGTATGGGAAAGTGGATGTATAGATCCATATTTTCTTGACCTCGGCACTAGCTGGAGGTGAGTGGTCAGCTTCACGCCCCGGCCGCATTACCCCTGAGGAAATAGTCCCCAGTACCCAATTGGATAGGAAGTTGGGTGGACCCCAGAGCTGGTGTGGATGACATGGCGAAGTGAAAATTCTTGACCCCACTGGGACTCGTACTCCAACCCCTCGGTTGTCCAGCCAGTAGCCAGGCAACTCTGTCCTACATAGACAGAGTAAATGGGTGACATGTTCAAACCATACAGAGGCACAGTTTGTATTCTGGTACATGGAGTACTCTGTTAATATTCTCAGAGAGTTCTAGAGCAGTATTTTATGAAGCTTAAGGCTCAGTTCAGACTTAAAATATCGTTCTGAATATATGAACTTAAGTAAGAGAGGATCAGTGATTCTTTGGAATAGAATTATGTATATTTTTTACTTAAAATGTGGACGGTGTGTAATTATGTTACTATATAATAGTGGTGAATATGAAAATTTATTTTACCCTCATTTTTAATTTATTTGCAGCCTCAGGTGTTTACACTTACCAGTCTCAATGGCGTTCGGCGGAGACAAGATCTGGGACAAGCAGGTGTCGAAGACATGATTCAGCTCTCGTAAGTGTCTTCTGGTCCATAGAATTTTGAAGTAAATAAGTTACTGCTTCTGTAACAAACAAATTTCACTTCATTTCTGTTAGAATTTTCTGCGTGGATTTTAGAATATTTATTAATATGAATATTTGATGAGATTTGACCTTCTGAAATTGGTAAATAAAAGGTTACAGTTTTCTGGGATGTGATGGCATGTAGTTTGGCAGATAGATATTAGCTTCTAGAGGAACCAGTTGCCTCCATCTTCATTGTAGAAGAATAGATCTTGAGCACTGATATGGCACGAATTTTCACAATTGTATAGTTACAAATTTAGGAGAAAAATCTCAAAATATATGCTTTGCGTCTGTGAATAAGTCTTGGGAGTTCTTAATCTGCCTATGCTGACAATGTACATTTTTCATGATGACAGCGCAAAATTAAAACCGCTATTCACTTACTGATCCCATCCATAATGTGTAAGTCACTCAGCAGGCAAAGTGTTTTATAAAGAAACTTAAAATATTGGACTTTGGATTGAAGATCAGAATCAACTCTGCTTTACAGAAAGTGCTGCAGTACTCCAGAGAAAATCAAGACTTTGTTGAGCATATGTAGAAAAGATTATAAGATCACATAAAATTTTCTGTAGGAAATTCTGTAGAAAATAAATAACTTGGGAGACACAGGCATAGATGGGAGACTAACGCTAATATGGATCATATTTATGATTTATATATTTGTATTTCATATTTATGTAACAAGATCCTACTAACAGATATTTTCCCAAAGATACTGAAGTTTTCTGAAGTTAAACCGCTCTACAATAAAGGTGATAAAGCTGAAATCTCTAATTACCGACCTATCTCACTTCTTCCAACTTTATCTAAAATCATTGAAAAAATTATTTATAAAAGACTGTACTCCCATTTAAATATGAACAATATCTTGGTTAAGGAACAATTCGGATTTAGAAAAGAATCATCCACTGAAATGGCAACATATAATCTTCTAAATAATATATTGACTTCCCTAGACAAAAAAAAAAATATGTGGGTGGTTTATTTTGCGACTTACAAAAGGCTTTCGATTGTGTCAACCACAATGTACTCCTGGAAAAAATGAACTTTTATGGAATCTCGGGTACAGCACTCAAATTAATGACATCATGCCTTGAAAATAGATATCAAAGAACAATTATGAAAAATATTAAACTTAATAAAGTATTTTCAAAATGGGAGCAGGTCAAACATGAAGTTCCACAGGGCTCTATATTGGGACCACTATTATTTCTTATTAAAAAAAATGATTTCCCGTTTTCTTTAAAGAAATTAGCTCAACCTATATTATTTACAGATGACACAAGTATTATTATATTTAATTCGAGTCCTGAAGAATTTAGAAGTAATATTATTTCAGTTTTTAATGAAACAATGACGTTGTTTAATAGGAACTTTTTAACTCTAAATTGTGATAAGACACATTTCTAATTCTTTTTAAAGAAGCATAGAGAAATAGAAATCCAAATTACATCAACCAACTCATTAATTACTAACATCAATTGCACTAAATTATTTGAACTAAATATTGATAGCACCCTGTCTTGGAAGACTTAATTGTAGGAACTAACATTCATAACTGAGTTATCATCAAGATTAATTAAGGCCTGCTTTGCAATAAAGCCCTTTGTGTCATTAGATTCAATAAAGATGATTTACTACTCTTATGCACATTCGATACTGAAGTATGGCATTATCTTTTGGGGTAATGCCCCCCTTAGTATGAGTATCTTTAAAATTCAAAAAAGAATCATAAGAATTATGTCTGGTTCAGGTAAATTTGATTCATGTCGGGATTTGTTAAAAAAATTACAAATATTGCCACTCCAGTCTCAATATATTTTTCCTTGAGTCTTTTCGTTATTAAGAATAAAAATTACTTTCCATCTAACACGGATATTCATGAGATTAATACCCGCTATAATTATAATTTATACTTACCCTCTACAAATTTATCAATAGTACAAAATGGAATTCTCTTCTCTGGAAGCAAGATTTAAAATCACTTACCTTTGTAAAGTAATTTTTATCTAAAGGCGTTAAGCAATTCAAATCTTTATTGAGAAGCTATCTCATTGAAAATGCATTTTATAGCATTGATGAATTTTACAAAACAACTTCCCAATGAATACCTGTACATTATGTAGTTAATAGTTTTAATTTTCTTTTATTACAATATTTATACTAATTCTATGTAAAATTGTTTCAGATGGCTACTGTAAGATTTATGATGTATATATTAGATTTACTGTTATACTATTGTTTTATGACAGTTTCTATATCCTATAGGTCTTTGACCTTGTATGGATTAATGGAATGTAATTAAATAATAATAATAATAATAAAGAAATATATTTTACTACCTTAGGTTAGGGACTAGAAGTACACTCTTTTAAAGATATAAAATGAATATTTCTAAATCAGTTTCTCAAGATCTCTTTTACATATGGATGATTTTCTATTTTAAGTCATGCATAACAATATTAATTAAATTTAATGAAAAAAAAAAAATCTTCTGTAATGCACCTCAATTACAGTTTCAAATGTATGTACAAGTATGTTTCATTGAACAGGGTAACACTTTTTGATATATCTGCTATAATAAATGATGGATTCCTACTGAGGTCAACATGTTCACATTTTATAGATGTCCAGATTGCATTAATTCAGATAAAACTATAGAGAAGTTTTAGTATTTGCTTGGAATTTTCACGTTTCAGTGTTCTCATATATTCTTCATTTTTATTTCAGTGTTGTTTTACATTATTGATGTAGTATACATTTTTAATTTCGTTTGTTATTGGGTTGCATGTAATAGATCAGGAAAAGGAATCAATTTAAATTCAGTGCCTAGCAGGCAAACCTCTTTATTTTGTGTAATTTTTGTGATAATCCTGTTACCTTCATACAGGGATCTGAATGAAGCGTCTCTGCTATGGAATCTGAAAATTCGTTACGACAAGGAGCTCATCTATGTAAGTTTACTAATTAATGAAATAATTCTGCAATATTATTTATTGAATACACTTCTGTTTCTTTTAATTTTGATCATGAGATATAATTCATATCAAGTACTACTAAGAAATGAATTAGTTTTTGATCCTGTTGTCATTTAATTTCAGACATACACTGGGAGTATTCTTGTTGCCGTGAATCCATACAAGATGTTTGACATCTATGGGCTGGATATGGTGAAGAAGTATGAAGGTCAAATTCTTGGAACTTTACCACCGTAAGTGATTTATACTTTTAACTCCTCTTTGTATGTAAAATTGATGTCTGACTGATTCATGGGATGGTTGTTCAAAGCTTGCATGTAGAATATTAAACAAAATAACGTGAATTTTTCTATATGAAGTATCTATTAAATTTAATTCAGTCTTCATTTTCTGACAAAGTGCTATCTGCTGGACGGCCTGGGTTCGATTTCCGGCAGTGCAGAATTTTTCTCCACAGCATCCAGGCAAAATCTGGGGTCCACCCAGCCTCCTATCCAATTGGTGTGGGGGGCTCTTTCCCTGGGGGTAAAGCACTAGGGGCATGAAGCTGGTGCCAAGGTAATAATGGTGGAGTTATATCTCCACTCCCCCATATGTCTTCATGACATAATGCTTAATAAGTTAAGCATAGTGACACACTTACTTTTATTTTTACCTTAATTCTATGGTTTTCCTGAAGTCTTCATAACAGTAAAAATCTTTCCAAGTGTTACTCTGATTAGTCTTTGTCTCTTTTTGCAATCTCTTTAGCTTATTTAAGAGAAAAAGATATTAATGTGTGCATTTTACTAAGTTTATTACTGAATACATAACCAACTGCTTTTAAATTATATTTTGATATTGTGTGGCCTCTTCATGCTATTCATATTTAAAAAAGTAACATATGGTATGAGCTGGATTATCTGGCTCACAATAGAGACCAGTTACAGGCTGTCATGAACATGGCAATAAGCCTTCAGGTTGCTTACAATACTGCGAATTTCTTCAGTGGCAAATCAACTGTTGTCTTCTTGAGAAGGATTTAGCTCCATGGATTCTGTTCATTATTATGTACATTTTAGAATTCTTATTTGTGTAACATTTACAGCACAAATTTAAATCGTACTATCCAACTATCTCAGTCCAATTAGCATAGAAAATTCTAAAAACAAATTTAATGGATGCAGAAAAGTGTGGTATCTTATATGGAGGTGGGTTAGAATGCCTCCATCATAGCCCTACAACTCACGGAAGGTGGCATAAAGACAAACCAGTGCCTGGTCTATAACTGGGTCACCTTGCCACTGGGGGACATAAATACAAGGACCTGTTCCTCCAGTTTGGGGGTTGGATGCAAGGCTGATGACTTTGCTCTATAAAATTTATTGTTGTGACATCCAAATAAGTGCAAGCTGGTTACAATCTGACTTTTAAGGTAGGCTATGGCTAAAAGCGCTATTTTGCCAGAGATGGTGATGATGATGATGATGATGATGATGATGGTGCATTTGCTTCTGTGGGAATGTGTTTAACAAGTTGATGGCTAGCAATGGGTAAACATGTCACATTATCTACCTGACTAGTGAATTGCTTTCATTATCAACCTCACGCTTCAATTTTACTGTTAGGTTGCATAGCCCTGTCATATATTCATTGAGTCCTAACAACAACATCAACATAAATTATATGAAATTTACATTCATTCAGAGAACTCCACGAATTAAATATATAGTCATTAATTTTCATTTCTTACATTTTACTAACATTTAAGATTTATATTTCATGACTCCATGAATTGTGAATTGTGTATGTTAATAAATACTGTTTAAATTGTGTTACAGGCACCTTTTTGCTATAGGATCTTCAGCATATGGCCACATGTCAAAGGATGGTTCATCACCTGAGAGTCAAGTAGTGGTGATATCTGGGGAGAGTGGCTCAGGGAAGACAGAGTCAACAAAGCTAGTCATGCAATACTTAGCAGCAGTAAACAAGTCACCTTCTAACCTAATCACTGAACAGATCCTTGAGGCATCTCCTCTGCTGGAAAGTTTTGGCAATGCTAAAACTGTTCGGAATGACAACTCATCTCGTTTTGGGAAATACCTGGAGGTGCACTTCAAGGAGTAAGTTGTAATGAGTTGCCCAGAACTAGTTATGTGAAATTTGGTAGCAAAAGTCTGTTCATTTTGTGTTTTATCTTGAATGCATTTTTAAGTAGGGTATAGCTATAATGTTGTAGGCTGTATACTTGTGTCCACACACCTAAAGTATTGCATGGATCCTTAGTTGCTCAGGTGAAGGAGTTGTTTCATGCTTAATGCAGTGAAAGTGCCATAGCTAAGTTCAGGACAAAGCCACAATAGGAGTGCAATGCATCTGTAGAACATTCTGTGTACATGATGAAATTAATATTACAAAAATATAGCAACATTCTATATAATATTGGAATCTAAACTTGGTTACTCTTTCCCCATATTGAAAAGAAGAACAAACAATCATTTTTAATTGACAATTCTCTTAATGTTTTTTGTGATTATTTTTAATAAAAGAAGGAGATACTAACATAACTGAAATTATTTTCCTAATGGGCACCATTCTGAATAAGGTTGTCAGTGACTAAATGCAACTCTCTTTGATGTTTCAACATGTACTCCATCACAGTTCTTAAAATAAACAAATGAAATTAAGATATCTGCAGAGATACTTCACCCTTTATTTTCCATAATGGAAAAAGTATATCCTAATTTTTTATAGTACCCATATACAATGTCGTGACAGAAATTAAAAATCCGACGGTGAAAGCTGTATTGGAATCTGGTAGTGGAAGATAACTTCAAAGATTGTGATTGAAGTTAAATTTGGGAACCAAAGGTTTTGGGCACTGGATGTGTCCAATCTGGTAATCACTAATATACACGTGTTGAAATACCATATACAATGAAAAGGAAGTTTTAAAAAAATTTGTACTACTTTAATTTGTATTTTGTTCCGGTATAGTGGTGTTATAATTGGTGCCAAGATCACAGAATACCTTCTAGAAAAATCACGTATCGTCACTCAAGCTGCGGATGAACGCAATTATCATGTTTTCTATGAGATGCTACAAGGTCTTACGTCTGAGACTAAGGAAAAGTATGGATTGCTCTCAGCTGACAAATATTTCTACCTCAATCAGGTATGTGAAGAGATGTGCCATGTTGCAGTAAGTGCTTTGAACCAGAGAGCATGAACACATATTCCAGGTCTTCTCTTAATACAAAGTGAGAAGTTTTCATATTAAACCTGAATCATGGTTTTATTTTGTCACAAAATATTTTTGTTTCTATTTCCATGTTTATTTTCATAATTGCCATTTTTTCATATTTTTTAAATTGTAGCAAGGGTGGAAAAATTACTTGGTTTTCCCCTTTTAATATACAAATGTCACTTATGAATAGAACCTCAGTATAACAGAATATTAAAATATTACTTGCATTTTGTCTCCATACAAACTGATGTAGTGGATTCATTTTAATCAAAATCTGATGATGTCTTCCTGCTGTGTTTCTTGGATTCCACTCAGTTGTCTCGTATTGCTGATGCAGTAATCCCTACAAAATATTCCTCTAACTGATGCTGACCTGGCAGAGTGGTGGAAGGTGTCACAGAGAGTGTTGCTTTGATAATGAACTATGTTTGAATATAGTAGTTTTGGATTTTGAACACTTAAAATGACCACTCGAGCATGACCGTTTTCATTCATTTCATCAGCTTTATGGTCAATAATAAAGGGATGGATATTTACAACAGTGTGTTTTGAAGGCTGCAGGAATAATAGTTAATGAGAACATGGAATAATGAAGACAAGTACAGGAACGATTCTTGAACAATTTAAGCATATTTTGAGACAAAATAAGTTGTCTTCTATGGTGACTTGCATCATTACAAAGGCAGGCAGGCAGACAGGCTGCTGAGAAGGTGGGGCAGAATGAAGACTGCAGTGTAAACAGTGACAGCTGACATATCAAAGCAAAATCAAGAAAATTATGTGATACAAAAAAGTAATTACCCAAGAAATTATGGAATTGATTGTGTGACTGTGATCACTTATACTGGGCGATCAAAATGCATATTTCATTAGTAGCGGAGGGACAGGGGGGATTGTTTGCAAGGAGCTGCCTCTCTCTCTTTTGTTGAATTATGACAGGTGTTATGGGTAACAGTTTATAGTATATGTAACAACATGGTAATATTGTATTACAAGACATAAAAACCTTAGTAAGTTATGGACAAGGGAAACAGTGACATACAACTAGGAGTTCTGAAGACAAAGAATTACATTAGCCTGATTGTTGTTTCATAAAATTAAATAATTTTTGGAAGTTGGTAATATTGATGTTAATATTCATGGAGAATAAGGCAGAGGAATCAGTACATGTGCCCTCTTCAGTAGCAGTAACCAAATGGGAGACTTGTGTTTTAGGCCCATAACAAGAAGACATTTGCCATTTCTCTATAAATAATGTAGAAGACATTGCAACATGCCTCTTACAATTCAGGAATCTGTATAAATATAGCCAGTGATGTTGAAAACATATTGCACTGCCATTATATAACAATGATTTTCTTCACACATGTTCAGTCAGCTTATGTTTGAGCCTTGTGGAATATGAACTTGTCATTACTACACACAAAGCACAAATATAAATATATATATATTGAATGTGAATTTCAGTGCAGTCTTTGGGACAAATATGATATGGAATAATGTATGAAATTTTTGAAGTTTATAAATTAACATATATAGGTAATAAACCATACAGGATCTGTGAATGATTTATCAGTGTTACTAATAATTTGCTACATTTTATTTTTATATGAATTAAAATTTGACTTGATGGTTGATATATGCATTCATTATGTCTAACTCTATCCATTGCTAGAAATGAGATACAATATTAGATTGATTTAAAACAAGTTAATTGTTTTGTAGCTTTCAGTTTTTTTTTGCATTTTTAATGCACCCTGAGATCTCTGTCAAAAAATATTTGCAGTTAATTTGGTACAACATAATATTGATGTTACAGGGTGGGAATTGTGAAATTGATGGAAAGTTTGATGGTGAAGACTTCCAGTCTCTGCTGTCTGCCATGCAGGTTCTTGGCTTCACATCTGAAGAACAGGATACTATCTTCAGGATTCTTGCTTCAGGTAGATACACACAATTTTTGGTTTATTATTCACATAATGCAATAGTTAATTTGGTTCGCAGTGAAGTGATTATTTTATTTGTATATTATTATTTAATTATGGTTTAAGAATACAGGATTCACTAGCAATGATCCCAAATACCCAAAGAAATATATCCAAAACCATCAAAATTTAAAAATATTTATGTTTTTGAGCCAAATTTGACATACAGTGAAACTCTCATTTTAATTTCCTTTGGAGAGCAGTGAATGTGAACACTATACTGAGCAATTTATTAAATGGAAGTAATTCATCACTGGAATAATTGACTTGGAGTCATTGAAATTGAATGCTACATTATGGAAAACCATAAATTAAGGAACATTAAATGGTGGTATCAGTGTACTATCTTCTCTGGGAGGGATTAGTATCAAAATAACCCTTTCCTCTGTTTTTGATCTGATTGATGTAGGCTTCATTTGCTGTCTTTTTTTGCAGTTCATCTGTTTTCATACTTGTTTCCTTTGATGTATGAAGCAGTTATTGACATTTATGTGCACAGTGCACCCTTCAATATGCAGGAGACTACAGAAAAAAGTATGTGATTTGAAGAGATGTGCACTGCTGACAGAATTAACATTAAGCTTATCTGAATAATTTAAGAAAATACATATAAGTTATATATGAGGCAGATGGTCATTGAATTCAGAATATTAAATATTGCCCTTATTTTTATACTCGTCATTGTCATCTTAATTTTCCAGTACTTCATCTGGGAAATGTATACTTTCACCGCAAACAACTGAAGCATGGGCAGGAGGGAGTGGAGATTGGTTCAGATGCTGAGATCCGTTGGACTGCTCATTTACTCCACCTTAGTCCAGATGGAATTAAGAGAGCTCTTACTACAAAAACAACAGTAAGTCAGTAGCATTGTATAATCTTCAGTTACAAACTGTATCTAAAAGAGCAAAGGATAAAGTAAAACAAATTGCTGTATATGTCTTGTTGATGGAAGAGTGTCTTGTAGTATGCTTGAATCTTGCATTTCAAGGTTTGACATTTGATGTTGTATTTCTTTGTCAAGGAGATTTTTAATACATCAGGTTCATTCCCATCAGCTGAGTGTTGTCTCAGCAAACCTCATTTAGACTATCACAAATCAAGCAGATCAAGAAAGTATGTGATCTTTGTTACAAAGTTCGTAATAGTTATTCTGGGCATGGCTGAAATCCAGATTATTGATGTGGAACTAGAGTACACTAGTCTCTTGACTCCTTGCAGGGGGCAGAGTAAATTCAGATTAACATAAATGTACTCAAAAGAGCAATATTTTATTCTTGTTGTGACAGTCTTGTGATTATAAATTCCTACTGAACATTTCTCTGTTTGCCACTGTGACCCACATAGTGACAATATTCCATGCATTAGACAGTTGCCATGCAGAATAATAGCAGTGGGCATGTATGTGTTATGCACTATATAAAAAGGAAATTGTCATCTGAAAGAACACAGCTTTGTTAAGAGGGAAATATCATATGAAACCTTCTTAAATAGATGTTCTTGTGTGAGACATGTTACAGCAATTTACTCTGTTGTTTAATCTCATTGCAGGAGGCTCGAAATGAACGGGTTGTGACTCCACTTAGCATTGACCAGGCTCTTGATGCACGTGATGCTTTTGCTAAGGCCTTATATAATGCTTTGTTTTCGTGGCTTGTATCTCGCATTAACCAAATAGTGTGCAAGGGAACAAAACATACTGCAGCAATTTCAATATTGGATATATTTGGCTTTGAAGATTTTAAGGTAAGTGCTGTGCTGTTGTAGAGAAATATTTCAGTCAGAATTTCAAGCATTTATATTGTGACATGATGACAGAAAGCCGGAACAGTTGAACGAATAAAGCAGCCATTGTTAGGCAATGGCATGGTAAATAGGTGTCCATGACAACAGATAAGTACACAACAATAAAGGATGCAGTGTTTCCTATGCAGCTATTGCTAGGAAACAGTTCTGTAAATACACTTCTGCAACAACAGATATGAATGCAACAGTAGAAGAACTGCTGGAAGCAGTATTTTCTGTACATTCTATGCTGAGGTTATATAGCAAGGACAAATGAGAAACATTAGTCAGTCAGGAGTTGGAGGTTGGATTTGGTGGTTAGAGATTTGAATTGCATTGTTAGACACCACTGCTAGGCAACGATGAGTGAAGACATAAGAGTACTTAGTGTTTGTAATAGTGATTTATAGGGTGTGCAGATTATTGGGAGCATTATAATCCTTTGTAGTTATGAGTTGCAAGGCTGCGCCATAGCTCAAGCGGTTAGTCACTGGCATCCCACCGCGGTGGCCCGGGTTCGATCCCGGGGTCTGGTCAAGTGGGATTTGTGGTGAACAAAGTGGCGCTGGGGCAGGTTTCCTCCGAGTACTTCCGTTTCCCCTGCCAATCTTCATTCCACCAATTGCTCCACAATCACCCTCACCCATCATCTGGGGCTGGTACAGTAGGCCAGAAGTGGCTGCAGTACAAGGGAACTTAGTCCCATCCCACCAGCAATAAAAAAAATATGAGTTGCAAGCATTCAATAAATCCAATTACCAGTCTAAACCCCTTGTCTAGTCACTAATATGTGACAGTATTAATATAGACTCTATTATTTTGCACCAACAGAGCTCAGTAACCCTAAGCAATCTATGGTTTCACATATATGTTCATAAGTATGTTAATTGTGGCCTGTATATATGCATTGTACTTGTATAGTGCAGTGAAGTACTTGTCAATAACCTGGTACTCGCTCACAGTTAAGAAATTCTCTACCTTTATGGGACCTGAAAGTTCTTCATCATGTACAGGAATGCAAACCAGTGGATCATATCCTGGTCCACATGAATCCATTTCATGTCTTAACATTTATATTTCCTCAAAAAAATCAATCCTAATATTATCCTCCCATTCACATTTTGGTCTCTCAAGTGGTCTCTCTTCTCTTAAGATTCTCCAACCTTAAGTTTCTATGCATACCACATATACCGTTCCTTGTCATCCTTGAATTTTACCCCAAAAAGATTTTTGGAAGAACACAAATTAAGAAGCTTGTCAGACTGAAGAAATGTGCCCATAAATTTACAGGCATAGATCTGATTGTGGTATTTTTCACAGTTCCAATCCACTTTTAAATGTCACTCTTAAAGAAATGAGAGGAACATCTTTACTCCTTTTCATGTAATTTGATCCATTATCATAAGGACAGAATCTTGATTTGTTAGGATGATTGCACATTTTATCACAGTGGGATGCTCTTTGCATGCTTCATTTTCAGTGAACTCAATATTAAAGTTCCTCAGTTTAAGATTTTTCTTGGTATAACGTTCATAATCTAGGGAAATGTTCAATGGAGATTTTGCTGCATTTTTAACTCTTCACAAGAATTGCTATGTTATAGTTGCTAATATAATCCCACTCTGCATCCATCCATGAAATCTAATGTGTCTGTGTTGTTTATTGCAGGAAAACAGCTTTGAACAACTTTGTATAAATTATGCCAATGAAAATCTCCAATTCTATTTTAACAAACATATTTTCAAGTTGGAACAACAAGAATATACTAAGGAGAAGATTGAATGGCAGACAATTAACTACACAGTAAGTAACTTACAGCAGCATCAAATGCTCTGAACATTTTGGAGTTCATATTTTCATCAATATAATTAGAGGTACATTTGGAGAAAAACAGACATTAATGTAATCAACTGCTTCTGTTGTATTTATGTTGCAGAAGAATAGAGTAAGTGTTAAGATTGACCTATGAGTTGCTAGGCACAGAACATTTCATTATCCTCATTTACAGGTCATTGTGTCAGAAGGCTTGTCTTCATTTTAAAGTCAATATTTTTAATGCCTTTCAATTCAGAACCTAATTTTACTACCAGCTTATTTGTTTAACTGATTTCTTTAACGCATATATTCATTACATATATATTAAAGCTGGAATTGTTTTGTCAGTACAGTATTTGACTATCAGCTGGATGGTGAGGTTTCTGTACATGGTACAGGTACAGATTTTTATCTGTGTAACTGTGGGGCTCACCAAACATCACATCCAGCAAATGTACCTTGGGAGTAAATTGTCTGGATCACGAAGCTGACCATACAACTTAGCACAGAGGTTAATAATATATGGTGCTATACCTCCACTTTCCAATATATATGTCTTCATGTTGTGGTGTTTAATTAAGTAAAGAGCCATCTCTACTTTGTGTTATTAATCTATGAGTGATCTGGAGTACATCTTGGCTATATAGCTGCTTGTTTGACAGTGGCATATGTACAATACAGTACAATGAATTTAGGGTTTTCTTCACTTTACATTAATATCAATGATCCTAAATCAATAATCTCAGTGTATAGTTTCCTTGAAGTAAGATCTTTCCTTGGTTCAGTGTTGAAATCCACCCCTCCTCAAAAAACTTGAAATGGAGGTTTCATTGCAACTTGTGAATTCATCAGCCTATGGCAAAGAAGAGTTTAGGAAGACCATTGAAGGCATGGCATCAGGCCATAACAGGCCTCATGGTCTAATATTTGGCAAGGTGATGAGATGATGATGGCATTTTTTGCAGGAATTTCTTTGTTGTGCATTTTTATACATAAGATTGGAGCTATTGTAAATTTGTTTAACATGAATCAGTAGAAGATGATTTACCGTTATGTTTTAACTTGATCTCTTCCTACTGATTTTATTATTATAAGGAGAATTAATATGATTGGATCAGTGCAAATATATTTTCAGAATTTTGTATTTAACCTTTCTCTTCACAGGAAAAGAAGGTAAGGAAACTAAAATTGTTCCTGTGCTTAATTAAACATCACATTGCAAATATATTGGGAAGTGAAGTTGTAGGTCCATGTATTATTGACCATCGCATTAGTTGGAGATGAGTTGTCAGCTTCGTGCCCTAACTGCTTTACCTCCTGACCCCAGACCCAACCTGAGTGGTGTGGTGAAGTGAAAAAATTGCTTGCCTTTCCTGGTACTTGAAATGAACTCTTTGGTAATCCAGCTTGTAGCCTAGTGACTTTACTGACTGGGCTATTCTTTTTCTCATAAACATGTAGAACATGGACTGTAGAATCTATCTGTAGTGAAATCTGGATTAAACAGAACCCTACCTTAATCTATCATGAGATTATTGATTTAAAATCAATATGAAATTGCTTCTTTGTAAATAGAAAATGTTCATTACAAAAAACAGAAGAAAATAAACAATAAGAATATTAAAGAAAAGATTCTGCTTTAATGTTAGTTGTTCTCTGTTCATATAATATTTTGCATTTGCTGTGTTCCTTGGAACTGTCTCTCAGGAAACTTTCTGTCACGAATGGGAAGAATAAGTAAGATCTAAAAGTCTGTGATGATGGTACATGAATCACAAACTTTTAGATCTTATTTACATAACCAGTATGGACACAGAATCGAGTCTCTCAAACGTTGTGTTTTGAAAAATAAAAGAATGGTTTTTAGACAAAGACAAGATGATGGATAATGTCCAAAAACATAATATTTGTGAGAAGAATGAGGTCCAACTTTATGAAATAAAAGCAGAAAAATAGGCAATTAAATATGTGTATTCATCTACAGCATTGGGTTAAAAAAAATTATCTGAAACAAAAAGGTATTTGGCCTCTAGGGATTCTATTATAAGCATGTCATGCTCTATATTTTCATCTGTGCAGGTAATATAAAAAGGTGGTTAATGTTCAATCTGCCAGACTCCTCCTTACAGTTCAGAAGTTGGGTTAAGATCTCACTGCATATGTTGCACTAATATATAGCAAAAATTTCTGTTCCTTTTTTGCAGGACAATCTGCCTGTGATCCATCTGATTGCCAAGAAGCCTGTTGGTATTCTTCACCTCTTAGATGATGAATCCAACTTCCCCAAAGCAACAGATCTGTCATTTCTCGAGAAGTGCCATTACAACCATGCATTGGATGAACTGTATTCTAGACCTCGCATGTCTAGCATGGAGTTTGCTGTCAAGCATTATGCTGGACAGGTCTGGTACAGTGTTGATGGCTTTCTTGACAAGAACAGAGACACTCTGAGACAAGATGTGGTTGACTTGCTTATCAGCAGTAAAATTCTGGTAAGTAAATATATATATATATTCTTCCACGTTGGAATGCTTCTGTCCACCTTACAACAGGTCTGTATGGTAGAGCACTATCACCCAGAGCTTCCACAAGCTCTGAGTGACATTCAGTCATATTTCTGCCACAAAGCACTGCTATTTTCATGTAACAAAGCTGTTCCAGCCAGTTAACGTTCATTCTTGATGAAGGTGATGATGACACTGACTTTGCACTGGACTCGCTTCATTGTCCTTTGACTTCTGCATCATCTAGCGGCATTATTATAAATCAGATGTTGCTGTCTCTGAGCGGAAAATTTGGAAATTCCNATGTCTAGCATGGAGTTTGCTGTCAAGCATTATGCTGGACAGGTCTGGTACAGTGTTGATGGCTTTCTTGACAAGAACAGAGACACTCTGAGACAAGATGTGGTTGACTTGCTTATCAGCAGTAAAATTCTGGTAAGTAAATATATATATATTCTTACACGTTGGAATGCTTCTATCCACCTTGCAACAGTTCTGTATAATATGACACAATCACCCAGAGCTTCCACAAGCTCTGAGTGACATTTGGTCGCATTTCTGCCACGAAGCACTGCTATTTTCACGTAACAACGCTGTTCCAGTCGGCTAACGTTCATTCTTGATGAAGGTGATTATCACACTGACTTTGCACTGGATTCGCTTCATTGTACTTTGACTGTCGTATCATCTAGCAGCATCATTAGAAATCAGACGTTGCTGTCTCTCAGCGGCAAATTTGGAAATTCCAGTCGGAGCTTTCAAAATTTCGGAAAAATTATGTTGCCATGACTTTTGAAGTAACCCACGTATTTTCTAAGTATCATGTTTACTGCTACCTGTCGTAAAGCTCATGTGCTGTATGTAATATAGGATTGTGTGCTTTGATGTGTGTATCATTCATGTGTAAGTTGTTCCTACATTTTCATGTTTAAAGAGTAAAGATCTTTTATGTTACAGATGGTGAGTAAGATGTTCCAACGTGTTCGATCCAGTCATGAGACAGCAAAAACAATCAATAAAGCCAATGGACGGTTTGTGACAATGAAGCCTCGCACCCCAACAGTTGCTGCTCGCTTCCATGATTCACTGCAACAGTTGCTGGAATCGATGTCCAAGTAAGTAATTTTTTAACTTGTAAAGATAACTTTTTAAACAGAAATAAATGAGATCTGACATTACATTACTAGAAAATTAAGAATATCCTAAAATTTGTTTGGGCTGAAGCCATCACCTTTTATCATACATTATCAGGAAGTTGCTGGAAGCTACAGTTCAGGAGTATTGCTTTGATAGTAGCTTGATACTGATGAGTTGTTCCAAAGAACTGTTGAAATTCGGCAGCCTTTTTAAATATTTTGTGACACAGAAGAGTTGACTATGAATGATTGTTAACTTTGTACTAAATTACCAAGTGGACAATCACTTGTTTTTGGCTCTGCACAGCTCCAATATCATTTTGTTTGCAGCTACTCTCTACCTTGCATTTTTGGAGGCCATCTCCCCCACCTGAAACCCAAGGACACACCATAGTGTGGTAGTATTATCCTATTTGTTTTTAAATACTGAAAACACGAATATGCAGAGGAATACTTTTACATTTGCTTCATGTGGATGATAAATATGGTCTCATATTTTGAGGGAAGAGCATAAATATATTCCTCATGTCTGAAAACTTCGTGTGCAGGAAAATATTGATTTTTAGAAGTGAGCAGTTTAGGAGAGTATATAATGAGAAATTTTGTGATTTATACAGGTCAGCTTATAGTATTAAGATAGTTAAATTTAGGAGAGTATGATGAACTGTGAATGTGATAGAATGGAGGTGAGACTAATGCAATGGAAATTGCATAAGGAAAACTTTTGGAAGGTGTCCACTTCTTAGGTTAAGAATGATATAGGAGAATATAAGTTGGGGGCATGGGAAATGAATGAAACAGATTCAGTATCATGTTCAGTGGTGGGCCCTGGTGTTAATGGTGTCAAATCATTAAGATTTTCTACCACAGGGTTATTTCAATAACTACCCATAAGCCTTTCAAATCTGAATTGTATCTTGCTGAGATGAGCACTTTTGAACCTCATTTGGCTAGTCATCTTGTCTACTGTTTTAATTGTTCTTAATATTCTCATATTTTCCAGGTGCAATCCATGGTTTGTCCGTTGCATCAAACCCAATTCAGACAAAGCACCAATGAAATTTGATATGCCAATAGTTCTAGAACAGCTACGTTACACTGGGATGTTAGAGACAATACGAATTCGAAAGATGGGTTATCCTGTCCGATTACGCTTCTCTCAGTTCGTGGAAAGGTTCCGTTACTTACTACCTCAACGAGTGGGTGGTCTCACAACAAGAGGAACTCCATATAGGTAAAACATGAAGTTGAAATATTTTATGTATTATATTTTATATTTTATGTTATATTTAGTTAAATTTATTTACACAGAATGGTTACATATTCTGTTTGTTCTCTTCTAGTTCTTCTTTTCAATTTTTTCTGCTTCTCTCTCTTCTTCTGAACCAGTTACAATAGAGTCAGAATTGTGTCATTAAAAAAACTTTGTAAGCAACTGAGTTTCCCCTGAATATGTAATCATCCTTTTGTTGGTTAGTACCAGTGACAGAAAGGTACCCCAAAAGTTTCAAGAGAGACTTGTAGGCCTATTATATTGGCATACACATAACCAGCCATATGTGTTCACTGGGTCCTCATACAACATTCTGTGAGACATATGGCACTATTCTTTAAACACGTGTTTCACTAAATATAAAATTAATTGTTAGCAATTTCAAGATTTAAGACTGGATCTTTTTTGTGTGACAGATTTTGGTGTGATTCAGATTGATATTTAAATAAAACTTGATTACTTAAATGAAATTTTCACAACTTAGAATTTCCATAATTCTTATACATAAAGGTAGATTGACTAGATAGTACGTATTTTTCAGCCGTACAATGAACTATGAAGATAACCATAAATTTGGAAGAGAAAGAAAAGTAAGAATTTAATTGCAGTCTACTGAAACTTCTACGTACAACATTTTCCAGCAGATATTGTAACTAACATATACCATCATTACTGAAACTATGCTTTCATGATGGTTCACTGTTGATGTTGATTCAGCCTTTGAGTATTTGCACCATGTGAATTATTTTTGTGATTCTCATGAATATTGGAATGGCCTGCTCTATAAATCTTGTAAACAGCAAGATGACCTCCCCAGGTGCATATACCAAGGGTAGAATCAACATCAACATACAATCATATCTTATAAGAGAACTTAGCTGAAATTTGAACAGAAATTCAAGATAGAGTAGTAAAATGAAGGATATGTGTGGTTACCCCAAAATTTATGTCAGTGGTTTAGCTATTTCCTTTAATTACTGTGTTATAAAGTCATTGCTTATGATGTTAACTTTGTGAAACATTGACTTAACAGGACTTGGTTGTTCTGTATTTATTATGACAGGGAACTCTGTCGTGTGATCCTGTCTTCTTGCTGTCCTGAGGCTGAAACAAATGGTGACTATCAACTTGGCACTACAAAGGTCTTTCTCAGAGAATGGTTGGAGCGGGAATTAGAACGTGAACGTGCTAGAGTAGTAAGAGCTGCAGCTGTCACTTTGCAGAAGACAGTAAGGGGTTACCTGGCACGTCGGAGGTATCGTGCCACGCGCAAGGCTGCACTCACACTGCAAGCTCACATGAGAGGGTGGGCTGCCCGCAAGAGGTACCACACTGTGAGGACAGGTGTAGTGAGAGCTCAAGCTAACTTCAGAGCCATGCGGCAGAGAAAGCGCTACTTAGAACTCAAGGTGAATGTGAAAAACAAGTCTGGTGAAGAGGTTTAATGAAGAACGCAAAGAATTTTAATGTTGGATTTGAGGTTCTCATATCAGTGGATATTATGATTATGACCGTCTGGGATATGATACCATGTATTTTGATACATAGGTATCAACTTTTGGAGGAACCTACTATACCTCCATCTTCTAGCTGAAAACTATCATCATGATAGAACTTAGTTTCAATGACTGTTACACTGTGCAAAGTAGTTTGGGTTATCATAAGTTCTTTGTATTATTTTAAACATTTAACCCTTTGAAAACGGTTATTTGTGCTTCTTTGTTAAAGGAAGATTTTCGACAAAGTGAAATTTTATGAAACCTTAGAATTTGCTCCACTTCCTGGGTTTTGTAATGATGGTTATTAGCTGCATGGTTGTGTGGCATGAAGTGGTAGAGTAATTATGAATGATAAATTATAAAAAAACATTGACAGAAGCAGGCATGGCTTATTTTAAGTTATTACAGCATCATTTGAGTGGCTAGACTGAGTAAAACCACAAAATTCAAATGTACTGGAGTCTGAGTACAAATTAAAGTAATATCCCACATTCATTTCCACCTCTGTTTTCAGGGAGAATTTTATTATACAAAATCATGTATGTATTTTCTCCTCTTTGTGTTCATGTTCATGCAATGGGAGTAATTTGTAGACTAATTTAGTTAGTAATATCATCTGTAGGAGGATATTGCTCCATGGAGTTAGTTAATAGATATGTATACTTACATAAACAGAATGTGAAAGACAGAGGCATTAAACTACAATTAGAAAATTATTCAGCAGGAAAATGAAATGGAGGAACTCTGGATACAAATTTGCTTACTCTTGAACCTGCAAACTTCATGTACTTAAATTGCGTGTTTTCTTGTTGTCAGGAGGAACTGAAACGCCGGGCTGAAGTGGAGAAGCTGGCTCGAGAGCGGGCAAAGGCCAAGGCCCAAAGGGAAGAGCAAGAAAGAACTTCACGTGCAGTGGCTGGTGTCAACCATCTTGAGATACCGGCTGAGTTGGCTTTTATCTTCAGCAAGCTAGATGGTAAGTGTTGTCATTATGATCACATTGCCATAAGTATATTTATGAATAACTTTAATGAAAGAGTGGGGTAAATAAAATTGGTGTTCATGATGAACACATTGTTGTTTGCATGAAAAGGTAACTAGTTTAATAAAGGATCAAAGGAAATATGGTAGATAAAATCTGTTTACCAGGAAATATCTGTCTGCTGTAGCTATTTAGACTTGGGATAGAAGCTACAGTGTTCTTCATTTTGTGAAACTTGGGAGCTGAAGTCTGTTTGCGAGATCAAGTATATATAGTTCTACAAACTTCAAAGAAAACAAAACGTTTATTTTCATTCAGCAACTCTGAAATCTTGAATAACCACCTAATCATGGGAAGATGAATAGATGAAGATGGAGTATAAAATATTACGTTTATTGTGTGCAGTTTCAGTGACATTTCGTAACAGCACGCTGCTGTTAACAAGACAGAGTTAATTCTCATCCATGTGAGAAATAAGAAACATTCATATTAACCATTTCTGTAATATTTATACAAAGTTATTTTGGGGGGTGTTACACTTGTGAATGGTGCCATGCTGTCATGATGTAAGCAATACAGACAATATATCTATGATCTCTGTTGCTCTGTTGTATTCTAGAAAAATGAAACATTAGGCAAGGTATATTAAGATGAGACTTTGGGTCTGATGATGTGGAATGCAGTCATCTTAATCACGATATTGTTTTGTGGTGCACTTTTGTGAGCATGTTTCTGAACCTTTGGATTCCAAAAAAGACGGGGAATTTCTTGACTAGCTGAGTAACCATCAGCTTTTCATGAAGATTCTGCTCCAGTGAATTAACTCTACTTTCTTTTCCTTACCTTTGAAACTTTTAACAATATGCCACCATAATTCAAGAATTTGTAAGGATATAGCATTGTCAGTTTATAATTTATAATATAATTGTATAATTCTATAATTTCTTGCATGCTCTACTATGGATGGAATGGAATTGTGCCATATCTATAATTTGTGAATGATGTTGCATGCGTATATCTTCCATTGGCATTCATAGACCTACATTTTATTTTGCATATTGTATTTAAGATAGAAAGTTGCACATGTCATTCTCTTCAACATATTGTTGTTATTTACTGTCTGACACATCTTCTACAAGTAACTTCTAGCAGTATAGAACATACCAAAGTTACAGTAATGAATCATACAGCTGTGGAAGACACAAATATTTATCAAGTTCAATTATAGAAATATATACTCATTGTGTAATTAAAAAATAAATTATTTGAGTAAATTAATAAAGCACTGAGAAACTGGGACAATCATAAAAGTAACAGGTTGCAACAATAAATGTAATAGCAATTATGTATGTTCTTCCACTAATGTGTATATTGGAATGTCTGGTTTTCTGCAAAATGATACACACCTTGATGTTTGTATCTTTAATACATTACATTAGTAATTATTTGCCTCTTTCAGACTGGCAGCCCGTTCACTCAGAGCGTCATCTGGTAAAAGTTGTTGGAGGTGTTGCAGGACGTTCTGATTCTGAACATTATCATCTTCCACATGACATTGACTCTCATGCGTTTACAAAATTCACAAATATATATTTTAAGGTTAGTTTTCTAAGATTTGTTCCTAACATGCATGAAAATATCAGTGATTTAATTACTATGTTCTCATGCAAGTTAATATATAGATTTTGGAAGATTTATTTAACATATTGTAGCTTGTAGACCCCTTACTGTGTAATGGTCTTAAAACAAACAATAAAATGACATCTGCTCCTAGGCAACAGATTCTTAATAAGCAAGTGTACACAGTTGTTGCTGAGTAACCCCTTCACAAACAAACATGTTCCCATGGAAGCAATTAAAGAACAACAATGAATGGTGTTTTCTATGTGGTGTGTGCCAAGATGTTATAAGGAGGACAACTGCAGCAAGGGTTCAGTGCAAAATATCTAGGTGTAATCTTCAGTAAGAGAGTTATATGGAGATTGCACACAGAAATAATCGAAGACAAGGCCTTCAGAACATTCATTAGAGTATCTTCCCTATTCAAAAGTGAGCGAGTAAGCACTACCATTAAACTGACCCCCCACAAAGCTCTTATTAGATCCGTAATGACTTATGCTAGTCCCACCTGGAAGTTTGCGGCAGACACCTATCTAGTGAAATTGCAGCACCTACAAAACAAGGTTCTCCACACCATTGGCATTTTTCTAAGGTGCACACTGATCTGAAATTTGCACATGGCACTCAAAATCCCATACATATGAGTATATGACTATGTAACAAAATTATGCAGGCAACAAGAAGAAGTCATACAAAATCATGATAACGAGAATGTTCGCAACATCGGACAAGGTGAAGCCCGACACAAAAAGTATAAGAGGCTTAAATGTGACGTCGGTCAGGCATACAACCGTTCAAGTGACTAGACTGCCACGGTAGCGAATACTACTAAAAATAGGGCATAGTCTGCTGTACTGAGCCTAGATTGACAGAGGCCTTGTATATTGTAACGTGTTTTGTTACTGAAGGCGCCGTTCGGATTGTTAATTTGTTTATTTAACAACCTACAAGTATCGGCTACAATTATTTATAACACAGTTGTGGGGTTTCACACTTTATAACCCTATTCGCAATAATCTCTTTACTCTATCTTCAGTAGGCTACACGTATTAATTACGATACTGGAGCTATGTAAGTGTCCCTGTATCACACACTCACCATCTTCGGCGGCTGCTATATTTCACGGCGCCACTCCTTAACACACACTAACTCGTTCACTGCTGACTGGAAAACTGGCTTCGGCCGTTGATACACTTTTACTGACAACAACTGGACTCAGCGACGGCCGCATTTCAACTGGCTTCGTAGGCAGTGTGGTTCACTTATATAGTCGCAGCGCTTGCCTGTTACGCGATGGGTACCGCTGTTGCCTGACGCAATGTTGACAGCGGCGTTGCATGCCATGTCACAGTGTGGAGGGGGGGGACGGAGCGCTGACTCACCCGCCACGTCACTGCTGGGTAGGGAGGGGTTGTCCTCCATTGTGCAACATGTCACATTATATTAAACATTCTAGATATTAAGACTAAATTGTAAATATGTGTACATAGTGACAATGGACTAATACTATCGTCAATGACTGACAAATGACAGACCCAACTTCTCGTTAGAGAGGGCGCCCCACATGGATAGGACAGTAACTTTCATTTAAAATGAAACATCTGGTCATGAGCCCCAGGCAGAGCTTGACACCAAGACAGATAGACTGACTGACTGACTGTCAGATGCAATGTGTATTCCCATTCTCTTGATGCTGTTGTACCTTCAAACTGGTTTCCTTATATAGACATGGCATGGACGCGCTACACAGAACACAGCCAGTCCATTGGCATGCTGGCTGCCTAGCAACAGTCTCAGCATGGATCTACAGAAAACACGTCACATGACTGCTACCCACTGTTGTGGTGTGATGTCACTGCACATGTGTATGTTGTGTGGGCACAAAGAAAACACTGCTCTTGTAATGTTGGCTGCATGTGTGTCACAGTCACTACCCAGCTTGGTATATATCCTGCAGCAGCACTCCACTTGTATGAAATGGAGTTTCATATGAATATCAGAATTATTTTCTGGTTTCATCATTGAATTCAGTTCACTTTGTAACGTCAACAATATTTGTCCTGTTTTATGATTTGAAATGTATAGAACTTGTATATGTACCTTCAGAATATTTGTATTGTTTTGAGATACGTACACCTTGATTAATCAAATGTAAGATGTAAATAAATATTTTATGTTTAACTTATGGAATTTCTTTGACATGAGTGCTTGAACTGTATTCAAATTATAATTTCTAGCTATAAATTATAAAAAATAAAATAATTTTGTCTGTTCATAGTCACATCTCTGGGCGATGAAGCGTGAACCTATTAAAACCCCTTTCCTCGCTAAGTCTAAGGATATGGACTATCAGGACTCATTAGCTCTGTTTAAACTCATCCTACGCTTCATGAATGACAACAACTTGAGTGGGAAGAAAGAAATTGCGCTTGGAGACTATATTGTCAATAAGGTAGAGTATCCATAGAGTCTGTGTTGAGTTTCTAAAAGAAAAGTTACCAGATGAGCTCATAGTGCTTGCTGCAGAATGCAATTGAGAGTACCACCATCAGCTTAATTTTTTTTTAACTTTCTTTGGTTCTAATTTGTATGTAAATTCTGAATCTTAGCAATATATTTTCTTCAAAGTCCTTTATATTACTTTTAAAAATGTTCATTTCTGTGACCCCACAGAAAATTAGCTCAGCTTACAGTGCTGTACTTCGACCATGTATCTGCCTTTTCTTTTTTTATGGGCATTTGGTTTATTAACTGATAAATGGTTATTTTTGTTGGGAAACCATATAAAACATGCTGTTTACTGACATTTACTGGTCTGTCACATAATCGTACCATAAAATTCAAAGTAGACAAGAATGCAAAGTCTGGTTCAAGTCAAGTCATATATCTATTGCTTAATGTGCTTAATAATGTCTGTCACCAGGGCATTGTTAATGAGAAACTGCGGGATGAGATTCTGTGTCAGCTGTGTAACCAGACTTGGAACAACGACAATGATGCTAACAACGAACGTGGCTGGCTACTAATGGCCAACTGTCTTTCAGCATTTCCCCCATCAAAAACTCTCTACAAATACCTTCTCAAGTAAGAACTTCCATTTATAACCAGCCCATGTTTCAGTATAATTTATTAAGTATTCACTAATAAAATAACGCAATTATTGAGTAAGATAAATACTCAATAAATAGGTTCAGATTTGTTACATAATGTATTTCATTGCAGTGAAGAATGTATTTGGAGTTCCTGAAAAATTATCTATTTACTCTTCCAGAGGCCAGATACACATTATTTCCCTCCATATGACATTTTTTTTTCGTTTAATTTTCATGCCAGTCACTTCCAAATAATTTTGTACAAAACACTTCATAATTTTACTAAGCCTTTTCTGTTTTTGTGTCATGAGACTAATAAATATTAAGATTAAAATATGCTCTAAACATTTTTTTTAAGTTTCTTGGAGTGGGGTGAGACTGAGTCTATTTGGTACATTGGCCACTACTTGGCCAACTGTACCAGCTCTGAATGATAGATGATGAATGTCGAGTAGTTAGTGGAATGACAATTAGCAGGGGAAACCGAAGTACTGAGAGAAAACCTGCCCCAGTGCTACTTTGTCCACTACAAATCCCAGATGACCTGACCTGGGTTTAAACCCAGGCCACTGCAGTGGGAAGCCAGCAACTAACCTCCTGAGCAATAGTATGGCCTGTTTTTAGAATATTTTAAGCAAAATATTCAGCCATTGAAAGAAATTGCTTGATTACTTTGAATAGGTATGTGTCAGACCATGGGTATAATGGGTACAAGGCTGTGTGCCAGCGTAAACTACTTCAGTCATCCCGTATTGAGTGGCAACTAGCACGTAACTACCCACCCTGCCTGTTGGAGTGGCGATCAAATCGTAAACGAGTCAACATGGCACTGCAGATATACTTTGCTGATGGTGAGTACTTACTAATCATATAATAATTTAAATTTTTAGAATAACAGTAACACTAAAAATAAGTCTGTTTACATTTTATTTCCTTTTTCATGTTGTGATTTTAGAATTCATTGAGATGAGTGACACCGTCTATTGGAGAATATTTTTATATTAAATTGTGGTAATGAATAACCAATAGAGATGAATCTACATAAAACACATTAATCTGTAATTCAGTGAATTTACATTTACATTTACATTTATTTTCGCTTCATGGATCCAATCATTTCCCCATAGGGCTGTATATAAAACATGTCACATATTACAGATTCATAATGACTACATATCATTCATCCTTTGTCCAATAAAATATATAATCAGGCCTCTCACAGATAGCTCAAGTTGTCAGGACAACACACATGGGTCGTGGAAAAACCACAGTCAAATTGATGCCTTGCCATTCCAACAATACAGTAATTAAGGGTCTGGACTCAGTTCTTCAGGCTCAAGATGGGTTGATGGGCAGGTTCTTTTATGCATAATACAGCTTTGGGTTCCAAAAGAAGATGGAAAAGTTCTTGACTGAGTGACCCTCAGCTGCTGGATGACTCTGTTTCATGGAGTTCATTCAACATTTTTCACTTTGCTTTTGAAAATCTTTTGTATCTATGTTTTAGTTACTTTTTAAAATTTTATAATTATAATGATATATATATATAGCTACAGTTTTAAAGAAAATTAAGTAAAATTATAAATATATAACTACTATACTAATGACAAAAGAATAAGAAAAGTCAAATTTAATTTCTTTTAGTGAAGTTTTTAACTATTTGTATGGCGTCAGGCTTTGTATATCTTCCAAGCATGAAAGAATATCTCCAAGGCATGAAAATGCTTCTAGTTTCCTCCTTTCTCTTATATTAAAAGATTCTATTTTAGTTTTTCTCTACGTTTTTAATCATATGATTTGGTTTCCATTTAAGTTCTCTGTCTTTTGAAAATCAAGATGGTTGCAGCTGCATATTGTGACATTTTTTTATTTATGTGTATATGGTTACAGATGAGATGGTCAGCGTACCTGTAGATTCATGGACTGGTGCAGAGGAGCTTGCGGGTCGGGCTGTTCGAGAACGAGGCATTGTAGAGAGCTCAGGCTGGACCCTTTGTCTTTCTACTGGCACTGACAATGTAGATAATACTACAGATGGTTTGCTCAAAGAAATTAATGGTCTGGACTATGTTCTGGACCTGATAGCAGAGATGGAACTAGCACCAGCATTCCCAGCATGTAGAAGCAGTTTTCTCCAGTCAGGGGGACACAGTAGACCGGCGAGGCGTCACAGCAATAAGGTACGTTATGGGTGTCAATGAATATTATTTAGTATGCAGGCTTGAGCATGCAGTGTAAAGCTCTGTAGTTTTTTTTTTTTTTAATTTGTTTAGTGGGGGGTGGAGTCCAACTGGGTCCACTCGGCCCGGCAGCCACTGATTGGCCTATTGGACCTGCCCGGGTGATTATGATCATGGAGAATTTGGTGGAATGAAGATTGGCAGGGGAAACTGAAGTACTCGGAGAAAACTCGCCCCAGCGCCACTTCATCCACCACAAATCTCACTTGACCAGACCCGGGATTGAACCCGGGCCACTGCGGTGGGAAGCCAATGACTAACCGCTTGAGCTATGGTGCAGCCAGCTCAATCGGTAGGTTGCCAGTTTCCCATAATGGCAGCTCGGGTTCGATCTTATGACAGGTCATGTGAGATTTGTGGTGGACGAAATGGAAATGGGGAAGATTTTATCAGAGTACTTCGGTTACCCCTGCCAGTTCTTATTCCACCAGCTGGTGGAATTTGGTGGAATGAAGATTGGCAAGGGAAACCGAAGTACTCGGAGAAAACCTGCCCCAGAGCTACTTTGTCCACCATAAATCCCACTTGACCAGACCTGGGATCGAACCTGGGCTGTCGCAGTGGGAAGCCAGCGACTAACCGCTTGAGCTATGGAGCAGCCAAGCTCTGTAGTTGCTCTTTGTAATAAGACCCCATGAACTGTAGATACTTGCCTCTGATTAGTCTCTTCCAAATATTAGTGGTTAAACTACTTCAGAAATATTGAAGGAGTGCATGCAAATACTTACACACTTTAAAGAGATTCCACATTAGAATATTTATGTAATTATAGTATTAATTTATTATTACCACCTGTAAGTTTACAAAACATATTCTCAATGTCATTTCTTATATTACTGTTGTATTATGACTATCACTGTAGGTATCATGTCAGATTTGCAAGTCAGGTATTGACAGTCATCTAGCTTTTCTTTGTATTTTTATTTTGTAAATTATGAGGACTCATCCACCAGCAGGCGAGTGCTGCTGTCTATTCTGTGTTATGAAATTTCATGACATTCTTATTGATTGCCAGAAAACACTTAGGCTATATAAAGAAGTGAATTTTATATATTCCATAACCACTCTATTAATTGCAGTTGTTGCCATTGTTACAATTAGTGATAACTGAGATTATCAACTTCTTTCCTTTCTTACTTATTGTTTGTACATTGTCATGACATATTGTTTGCCCTTTGTCTATTTTTTTTACATTTTGCTATTTATATTCACTCTTGCTTTACTTATCTGTTATATACTGTGGATCCCTCTTGCACCATGTTATCTTCTTTCCTTACTCCCCCCTTTGCTTAATATCAGACACATCAAATAGAAGGACAATCATTTAAGATGAAGGAAAGGGTGATTTTTTTAGGATATCATTCTTTTTAACAATCACTTAAGATATTTCAGTATTGCAAATGGAAAGTTTAGCTTAGAAACATTGTACTGAATGAACCCCCTGAATATGTATAAGATTTAATTGAAACATACTGTGTTAAATATAGATAGTTATAAAGTTGTAATTGGGTTTTTATATTTTGTTAGTATTCTAGAAGGTTTGTGTATCACATATTTAGTTTAGGCTGAAAGTGTGTCATATAGAGACATATTAAACAGTTGCAAGGGTAGAGTTCAAATGTATCCCAGGCTAATAAAATTTTTTTACTAGACCCATAGAAACAGGCAAAAAGTGTGCACTGTAAGACGGTTAGCATAAATACACATCATGGACATGAACCAGTGCAACAGGACGCTAAAATATAAAATTAATTCCAAAGCAAATTTAATTGCATATAAGAAAAGACACAGCTTGTCAGTAGCAGAGATTTGCAAAGTAACAGTGTGTGTGTAGCAACTTATTTTTTTCTTCAAAATAGGTGTCTTCCTCACCAACAGCAGGAGCAGAAGCAGAAATAGAATTAGATATACCTGCTCCATCATCTCCTCGTAGACCAGTGGTTCCACCACCAGAACCTCCTGTTGTTAAGCAGCCAGTGAGTGCCTTTTGCCAGTTCTCATTAATTCAGGCATTATGCAAATATAAGAGCAAGAATTGTTATGTTTGTATGAGTTATGTCACAAATGTGTCCTCTTGAAATTTGATCTAAATTTCTTCACTACTGCAGAAAGTAAGATACATTGCTACGCAACATTCACAATTCCTGTTGCTAGTGTTGAATCCACAGAAGTTTGCTTGTCTTTAAGGACATCAGGCATTACATCAGCATTAGGATGTCCTAAGCAGTATAAATTTCATTTCTTATATAAGTTGTTTATAAAGCCCAAGAGCTGTATTGAATGACACACAGATTTATAAATATGGTCCCATAACTTGCAATTTCTTGTACCATAAGAAAAGTACACTAAAAATCTTGAAACATGATACTACATCTTTGGAAACACAATTTTAAAATCAATTAAGAATTGTGATTTTTTCTAGTAATCAGGTATTTTAGGTATCAAATAAAGGGAGATAAGATGACTGAAACATGTAGCATATACGAGTATGACAGAAAACCCAAAGTGAAGAGACCACTTGGCAGACCTAGTTGTAGACAGGATAGCAGTAAGGTGTATGTTACTGGGATAAGTTAAAAGAATAGGATATGCATGGACCTAGGTTAAAGTTGTGTCCAGTAGAGACTTGGTATTAGCAGTGTTCAAACTTTAGTTTCTGCTACCACAGGGCTGTAACACAGTTAGGTTAATGGCTTATCCAAGTTTGAAACATAGAGCTTTTCTAATAAAAAATCATATATTTTATTCCAGCAGGTAAGAAAAATATCTCATGAAGTAGTGAAAGATGTTAACCAATGGGGTGAGAGCAGCAAAATCCACAGGACAAGATCACAGTCAAGGGATCATACAGTGGAGAATGCTCTGTCTCGAAAGTCAGCTCTTAATGATAGATACTTTGAAGATAAGGGACGAAGTCGGAGTCTGGACAACCTTCTGGAGTCGGTCAGTTTTTTATGACTGCTTCTAGAATGAAGCGTAAATTATCATGCTCTCTCATATCTTTTCAAATATGTGATGGATATGAAATTATAAACAGATCTGTAAAATTCGTCAACTGCACTTTATTAGGATTCATTTTTCTGATATACTGTCTGCATTAAAACAAGACATAAGTCTTCATCTAGCTGAAAGGATTAGTTCACATAACTGTTGCATGCAGAGTGACAACAAATATAAAATGTCTTTCGAGGTTCTTATTCATGAGTTTTATATTTGTGGAGGGAAAGATACATAGTACACATGTTGCGTGCCGCAATCACACATATCACAATGTATGCAAAGCTCTTTTTGAGGTGTTTCCTATTGTATGTTGTACCAGCATTACTTTTTACTAACTACAAGAATGTGGTCAAAAAACTTTAAATTTTTATGAGATCTGAGGCCTTCACAGTGGTAGCTGCGAAGATTATTACTTTCTGGGATATGCCATGTAGTCTAGTGGATTGTTACTCAGATTTTTGAGGAATGGAGGAGGGTTCTACCCTTAAGATGGAGGCAGCGTATTATGTCATAGCCAATAAGAAAGTAATCATGATTAATTTTTGTGTTTTAATGTATTTATTGTCTGCTTTTCTTAAAAAAAAACAATATTTTTCAATATTTTGAAGCATTTTTAGTACAAGAACTATTGTTTTCCCTCATTTGTCAAATCTGCATACCAGCAGATTTCTATCCCTAAGGAAATCTATGAGAATGTGCATACATTTGTGTGTATGTTCATGTATGTTTACAGAAGATTGTTATCATTGACATGTTCAGAACATCCGATAAAACTTTGGCATGCAAACTAAAGACAAAATATAATGTTATTTTGCATGTAAAACCTGAATATGGTGTCATCATCAGAATTGTATTTGGGAAGAACTATTTTCTGGGTGCCATTGCATGCATATGGCTTCTACTTTTGACATTAGATCCACCCATCATTAGGTAATAGCAGACAACTACTCTGTTGCTGTCTCCATGACAGGAGCAAGGGAACATGTTATATTTATACAAATAAACAGAAAAAATATACACACTCTTCTTTCCTTTATATTAACAGGTAACAGATGCAGTTGTATATGAATTTATTCACAAGAAAACAGTGTATGACAATATTATTTGCAAATTTAAATATATAATGGATTTCATAGGGGTTGGTATTTTGTAAACCATAAATGGAAATATGCAGGAATACCATATTCATCTACACAATTGCCTACACAATTTATGATGTTCCCATGTTTAAGTTTTAGATACAAAACAATAGCATCTACATTGTCACTTCATTCACGAAATAAATAAATAGTAAGTAATTAATAATTTTATACATTAAAATCATATCCATTTCATATTAACTTTCCTTTGGGTAGTACAATGACAAAAATATCAGTCATACTATTAGAATACTGAAACTTTCAGTTTATCATTTGACTTTTCTGGGCTTTTCTCGTGCAGCTCTAGGATTCTGTTCTGTTCTGTTCTGTTGTACATGTCTAGGCATGAGCTGAATAAAAAGCAAATCTTTTTATTGAAATGTTTGCTAATACATTTCAAGAATCATATTCATACCACCTTAGATTAAGCTCTTGATCTGTACCAGTTGAAAGGTTAAAAGTACTCCTTTTATTACACGCATAGTGTCTTCTTCCTTGGGTTTGTACAGATGGAACATCTTTGGCATTTGATTTCTAGGCATTCTTTCAAAATGTTGTAACCACTTTCTTTGACAATTTCTTATTGCATTGATGTATATTATTCCCAGTTCTGTAATATCATTATTATGCTTACAATTCTTCATTCTATAACCTGAAATCCCTCTGAAGAAGCACATCCCCATTCTTTTTACAGTTCATGATATTTCTGTTGGAACTTGTAATGCTACTAGTGGTTTTTTCATGGCAGTGACTGAAAATTACCTTCATCTGAGGCGACATTATGCAATACAGTAGATATTTACCAGTATTTTGTGGGAACCTACAACCTTCATCTGACTCTTATAGCCTGAAGATGGAGGATTATTTTCCAGACTATATGGCAGTATATACCTGAAGACAGTGGTCTTCTCATACCTTGTGAATTTGCAGGAATTGCCAGCACCTCGGAAGTTGGACAGCCTGGGTCTGTCCCATAGCAGACTGAATGAGCGATACCACTCAATGGAGAAGGTTAATGCCAGCCACAATGATGTTTCCATGCTGCTGAATGCAGTAAGCAACAAGGAGTATATGACAAAGGCTGAAGCTTTGCTGGAGGAGCAGCTCGAGTCAGTATCTCAGAGAGGAGAGGACAGCCATCGCAAGTACAGCAGGTATGCAGCCCACAGAAAGGTTGTGGTTCTGGGATTCTTGCAGAAATTTATGTAGTAGTCCTTGGATATTCATAGAGTTTGAAAAAAGTGCAGAAAGTTACAACCATCAAATTTTACACATATTTTGTTATTAATTTCATGGAGCAGATTTTCTTTCTAAAAGCTGATCATTTTTTTTAATGCTAGTGGGGTGGGACTAAGTCACTTGTACAAAGTCACTCGTACTGCGGCCACTTCTGGCCTATTGTACCAACCCCAGATGATAGGTGAGGGTGATTGTGGAGCAATTGGTGGAATGAAGATTGGCAGGGGAAACTGAAAGTACTTGGAGAAAACCTGCCCAGCGCCACTTTGTCCACCACAAATCCCACTTGACCAGACCCGAGATCGAACCCTTGCCACCGTGGTGGGAAGCCAGCGACTAACCGCTTGAGCTATGGCTTGGCCAAAGCTGATAATTACTAGCTGGTCAGGGAATTTATTTCATTTTATGGAGTTTTTAATGTTCAATATGGTATTCAAAACATCCTGCAGTTAAATCCCCATCCTGAACCCCTTAAATCCCATCAACACTTTCATGAAATTAAAAGGAGATTTAATTTGGTCTGCTTGCTACCATTCAGTCCAGAAGCTTCTGTCTTCATTTCTGCTGTCTTTAAATGTAAAAATTAAATTATACAAAACTATAATTTTGTCAGTGGTTTTGTAGAGGAGTGAAACTTAGTCTCTGACATTAAGAGAGGAACATAGACTGAGGGTGTTTGAGAACAGTAGCTGAGGAGAATATTTGGACCAAAGACAGATGAGGTGAAAGGAGGTTGGATGTAACTGCTTAATGAGGAGCCTCATAACTTGTACTCTTCACCAAGTATAATTAGAATAATGAAGTTGTGGAGGATAAGGTGGGCAGGGTAGCTAGCATGAACGGGAACAGAGAAGTGCATGTCAGATATTGGTAGGATAGCCAAAAGGAAAGAGACCACTAGGACAACCAAAGTATAGGTAGATGAATATTATTAAAATGGTTCTTAGAGAGATAGGATAGGGTGGTATGGACTGGATTGATCTGGCTTAAGGATGAACCTTTGGGTTCCATAAAAAGTTTGGAAATTCTTGAGTAGCTGCACAACTGATGGCTTATCAAGAAGATCTCAGCTTCATGGAGTTAATTAGTTCATTGTGCAACTTTTGTTGTGAAAAATGAACTCTGTATACACCTAGTTGCTTTTACTGTTTGAATGTTACATGAAATATTGAGGTCAAACAAATGCTCTTACTAACTCATGCACTGTACTTCTCACTACAGCCCAGGCTGCTTTTCAGTTTGCTATAGCTTCACCAGACATTGCCTGGCAATGGATCCCAACAATGTCCTCTGTTTTCATGCTCACGTCTTGGTAATTGCCCCACAACTAACCCATTGCTCCAACTGTTTGCTCTTAACTCATGACTGCAACTCATGGCCTTCTCGCCATGACTGTCTACTTCCTGGTTCTCACTGGCCTGTTGGTCTGGTTATATAGCCTTGGCATGGACCACATAGAAAATGCTGCAGCCCTCCTAGAAAACACCACATCATAGTCATTATTTACCAGCGATTGCATAGCAATGGGTGTCTCTTTCAGTTATTATGTCACAGTATTCATTCACTTGACTTAGATTCTGAAATCTTTGCAATTTAGTTTTCTTCCTTTTAGCTGATATTTTTTAATGTTTATCATACCATGTTTTATGATATTTAACTTTTAATACCCTAAACTCTCTTTTTCCAGGGGAGGTGATCTGAATTTAAATGGTCGTAGCCCATCATCAGGTGTCCTGGACCAATTGCCATCTGATCTACTTGGTGGTGGCAACAACCATCGTGATGATCTTGATTTTGATTATCCCGATTTGGCTAGTCAGACTCGCAGTGAAGATGATAAAGGGAGCTACATCAAGGGTCATCCAAGGTGTGATTCTTTGCTTCATGTCACTATCCACTGTGAAAAGAGGAGTTTGATACATTCCTTTATGCAACTTATAAACCTGCTGTCATATCACTGAAGTGGACATACTAACATGCCATTATAAGAAACCTCATGTATACATTTAATTGCATAGGTATAAATATTTTATGTAAGTCATCTTGTGCTTATCTCCAAATTAGATCAATTCCTGTTGACATAATGATTTCGCTTACTATCACAATTTGATGGTACAACATAGAATTCCTCCGTCTTTCAGGTCACAGACTTTCAATACAACAAATAAATCTAGTTGGGAAACTTTGGCACAGCATAGACTGATAGCCCGTCTGTACACCATTTACAAGGCATACACCAGGAGACCAGCTTGGAAAGCGATAAGGGATAGACTTCTTAAACCATGCTATCTGAGTAGGGACGATCATATTTGGAAAGTTAGGAGTAGGAAACAAAGAACAGATGTTGGCAAATATTTCTTTGTAAATAGGACCATAGAAGATTGGAACAGTTTACCTGCAGCATACTAGCACCTTTCCCCTGTAAATTAAACATTTGTAGGAAGAGGGTTAGGGAAGCATTTACAAGTAAAGATTCCTTAGGAGGAATGTGAATGGAAAACTTGTTGGATTTGCACTGTGTGTACCTTCTTTATTACATGTATTTTGTTTTGTATTTTTTTCCTTTATGTATAGTCTTTCCTTGTCTGCATCAGTGGAAGATCTACTGCCATTAATAATAATGATAACAACAACAATAATACATTCCCACCACTGCAAAGTGTTGCAAAATATTAACAAAATGATTAAAAATAAAATAAAATCAATTACTATATGAAAATATATTCTTATAGGCAACTGCAATGTGAATTTGTAATTCCCTCAGTACTAATAGTTTCCTCCTCATCCATACAGGTTTATTAAATCTCAGTATGCCGGTAAGAAGGCAGCACCGGGGAGTCATTCTAGTCGAGCATATATTGAGACTCGCAACTCAGAGAAGTCAGACTATGGAGCTAAGTCATCTGCCCTATCAGATACAAGTGAAGCTCCATCTCTAGGTGAGTTCATGAGTTGTCAGTATATAGTATTGCTCTTACAATTTAGTTATGCTCAAACTGGGCCTCATTTTGTATATCAATATGTTTGCACCAGGGGCTGTGAAAGTGTTTTGAAACTCTGCTCTGTATATTCCTGTCATTAAAACAAACTTGGCTCTAGGCTTCCACAAATCTGAAACTTAAGGATACAAAAATTAATGACATAAGAACTTTTATTCTCTAAGCACACGTCTTTCATGTTAATACAAGGTGTTCTCAGAGAACTGCATAATTGGTTAGTTGTTTCACACTATTCTCTATCATTGTCTCTTAGAAGATGACTGTCACTTAGCTAGCCAGATTGCTAGTTACTCAAATGTTCCTTACTGTCTTCATAAGAGCCTGACACTTGACAGTATCCATACCCAGCTGAATCTAGTTCACACCCTCTCACCTAATTTTTGTTATAGCCACTTAAATATTAGCTTCCCATTTCCCAAATGATCTTTTCCTTTTAGGTTTTCTGGCTAAAATTTTATATATATTTCTCATCTCCTTCATGCATGCTACATGTTCCACTGGTCTCATTTTTCATGGTTTAATAATTGTAATAATGTAAAGTGAAAACTGAAGATTCAGAGGGATGACAGTAGGATGGACAAACAAAATGTACAGGAAAATGACAAGGGGATGAAGAAGGGAAGAAGATGGAGGTACATAACAGGATAAATGAAAGAATAAAGGGGTGAGGAAACAAGGGAGAAAGGGAGGCAGGAAGGTAGAAAGAAATAATAATGGGAAGGACAAAGGAAGGAATAGCAAGGAATAGAGAAGGAAGTAGGGTAGGATGTAATAGCAAGAAATTTTGACTTTCCATTGAATTTTCAACAGGCATTGTACTTGCAGAGAAATAATCTCTAATGGGGAAAATGAATAATGAATGAAGCCTGACAAGTAACAAGAATCCAAGAGTATGCCACTTTTCTTATAGAAATTTCAGTAATAAAGCAGCAACCTATAGAAACACCGAGAAAGATCAACCGAATATGTTTTCCTAATAGAAGAAATACAATAAATATGACACCAAAGTCAAATGCACATAGTTTCAATGTTTCCATCTTCCATTGGAGTCATTCCAGAAAATCTCTATGGTAACAGCAAGCAGCCAAAGCTGCAAAAGAACATTTACAACCAGTTAATAATAACAAACACTTCTATAACCTGCAGCTTATTGTAGAATATGATTCCATTACAGTAAAGATAATTGTATTTTACACAGAATTAATTAAAAAATACTGTATACAATTATTTTATGTATGTAAATTGATAAATATTGTCTTCATCAGTCATTGTCTTCTGCTTCCATGATCATGTCATTGCCTGTTCTGTACCATCTCACAACTGAACTTCAACTGGACACTCACTGTCTGTGACTAACTATGACTCGGCTGGTGGCCTCATTGTATACCCTCAGCACGGACCACATAGAAAGAACCACTCCCAGCAATCTCTTCAATTGTTGTGCGCCTATCCATTGTCGTAGATATACGTTTATCAAATTTTTACCAAGCAGTGGCTCTCTTTTTCAGTCATCATGTCACAATATTTTATTTTAAGGTGCTTGATCCATCCCATACCCACCAGTTATTAGTATGTATATAAGCTTATTTTAAATATATTTCTGTGTCATTCACTGAAGAATAATTGGAACAAGCTGTGTAATTGCATCAAAGCATGAATTTGTCACATTGAATTAAAAACAATTTAATTTTAATTAATGCTTTATTTGCAGCATCACATGTTCGTAGGGTGCGTGTTCCCTCGCAGGCATCAGATGTAGACCAGTTTCTGGATGACCTGTTCATGCCCGTATTGGATGGTAATTTGGATGAGCTGTCTGATGCCCGCTCACTGGCTGCATCCATTAAGGGTGGTGGGGAGTTGAGTAAGAAGCAGAGTGAACAGCAAAGAATACGCAGACTGTCCAGTAGCAGCAGTTTGGTTGACGATGAGGTGGCTACTCTCACAGGATCATCTGCCACATCAACGCTCAGGTATATGCAACAGAGAAGCTGGTCAGGTGTATTGCAGTACTTGTGTTTTACGGTGCAACCAAAGGGAACGCACATTTCATTAAATTTATAACTTTTTGGGATTTGACACCATTTAACTTAAAGGTAGTTACGACAAGAACATTTCAGAGAAACATGCTGCCTCCACAGTGAAATGTAAATATTATAATAATCTGCAAAATTCCTAAAAGTGTTCTTTGTAATAGATATTTGTAGTATACAAAGTATACAAATATACAAAAATTATTATGTTTAATACAATATAGCACTAGGACTTAAATAATAATGTGGGTGCTACAATATTTCTTGTTCTTTGAGGTGATTATTACAGGTATGTGAAAAGAACAAAATGATAATTCCTCTCTCTTATCATCAGTAACATTACCTGAGCCGAGGAGTTAAAGTTTCTTAAAGTTACATAACCTCTTCTACTCTCAACCAACTGCTAATTAAGGTAGTCTTATATGAATGGAAGACCTGCCCTCTGTTTTCTGTGTGCTTGCAAGCATGGATCATACATATTCCATTCATTATTTATGTGCACTCAAAAATTCCACCGCCATTCTATCTGTAATTCATTGCATGTACATGTGAAAATAAATGCAATTACTTATATCAGTCTTGAGTAACTGATGTAACTCGGCTGCACCATAGCTCAAGCAGTTAGTCACTGGCTTCCCACCCCCATCAGCCTGGGTTCGATCGCGGGTCTCATCAAGTGGGATTTGTGGTGGACAAAGTGACGCTGGGGCTGGTTTTCTCCGAGTACTTCGGTTTACCCTGCCAATCTTCATTCCACCAATTGCTCCACAATAACCCTCACCTATCATCTGGGGCTGGTACAATAGGCCAGAAGTGGCTGCAGTACAAGGGACTTAGTCCCACCCCACTAGCAATAAAAAAACTGATGTAACTCATGAAACAGTTTAAATTGCACAAATATTTACATACATACACTACATCACTGATAGTTCTAAAATCAATGATTGGAATAATGCAACTTCTTGATGTTAGATATGTAAGCAATTTTTATGAATCAACAATTATACTTAAATGTAAAATTCATGTCAAGGCAGTGGCATGTAAACACAAAAGTGTTTACTTTTCCGTCAGATGACATGTTTACATTGCCACACTTATCTATTTTGACAGCTAGACAGGCTCTGTACTATCTGCAATTCCTGTATCTATGACTTTACACTAGTAGCACAAATCTCATCTCATTATATTTTCAAACAGTCACAAACTGAGATAATGTAACAGATTTCACCAATATGTACTCATAACAGAAAGGTTTGAAGTTAGCTCTTTCTAAAGGCGCGTCCACATTGCTTGTGCTCATGCTCGTGCTCGTGCTCACCAGGCTTGTGCTCATAGGGAGACTCGTCTGGCTGTTACTTTTGCTCGTAAATCTTCATCCAAACTACTTCAGTTGCTTGCCATGCTTCGGTGTGTGAGGATCCGTATATTTATTTGTAGTGTGTGTAGGCTGTAGTCATGATTTAATTTATTGGCTATAGTTTTTAAATTAAAAATTTAAAATTTGCTTGTCTAATGACTTGTCATATCATCCACATTACTTGTGAGCATAGTGAGTCACATGAGCATGAGCACAAGTAATGTGGACACGCCTTAAGGGACCAAACACAGTAGGTGTCCCTCACTTGCCTGAGGATGAAAAGAGATCCATTTTCTGAAACATTGTGTTCCCTAGATATTTGGAATACTGGATGATGGACAAAGGCCAAAAACCAAATAATTCTGAGGAAGGAATATTGTTAGTTTGGTTAGGTTTATTCTATACAGTATTTTCTCTTTGTGCTTCAGTATTGTAAACAGTGCTGAAGTTAATCCATACCAACTTTTCCACTTGTAGACTAGCTACCAACTTAATGTAGACAAATTATTTCAAGTTTCATATTCAACTCTAAGCCATAATTATCATTTTTCAAAATTTTTCAGCCAGTGATAACTGAAACACAGCAGATGATTTATGTTACAAAATTTGTTATTATTGTTTTGTCCTTCAGGTGGCCAAGTGGCAGGGATCAGCGAGTGGAGAATGTTGATGACTACATAACTGACCTATTCAAACCAATATTCATTAATGCCAGCTTAGAGCGCCTCACCAAGGCTGCTACATTGGCGGGAGCTATCAAGGGTGGTGGTGGAATGGATTCCCACCAGGTGAAATAGAACTAGCTTTCTTATATAACCCCATCTAACATAACTTACATGATTTCCAAAGGGAAAATTAGAGTTCAGGTATTATAATTTCAGAATATGCTCTTGTAACAATATGATAGAGCATTTTTTGCTATTAAGTCTCCAAGCTTTTGTGATAAATTTTCCATTGCTTTTCGCAGACACGCTGAAGTCTAAGTTTAGCATTTATTAAGGGACAGTACAATATAAATATTCAAATACTGAAACAGATTAAGAATTCTGGTTTGAGTAATTTATTAAGTCTCATTTAAACAAACAACAGACAAATCACTAGTCAGTCTTCCTTGCTAAGAGGGTTACTTCACTCAGTGTTTATTTTCTGTGGTGTCAATCCAGTTATCTGTGTTAAATTTCCTCTGTGCAAGGTTTTCATCAGTTCAGTTTTAAAATTTGTTGTGTTTCAGAGGAACCATAACTTAATGTTTTGCTGATATGTTGACATTCATTTAATTACATGAGTGAATTAATTAATGATGTGATGTGACATGATTTGAATGAGAAAGGAAAGAGACAGAGTAAAAAAAAAGATTATTAATTATGTTTCGAGTGCTGGAGACCTGTGGTCTAGGGATAAGTCACAGGCCTTTCATGCAGAAGGTCTTTAGTTCAAAATCAGCCAGATCTGAATGTGAGGAACACGAGGTCCTCAACATAATTTTGATCCTATGTTGAGCTGTAGATCTCACTGTCTTCATAAATATTCCTGTTATTAGGAGCACAATGGAAGTTGTACCATTTGTGTACCCTCAGAGAAGTATGTCTGGACATCACCTTCCCCCTAAACAGGCCATTGGAGGGGCAGGATAGTTGAAACAGCAACTGAAGGCATATGCCATCACAGCATAGAACATTTAAATTGAGTGCAAATAACAAATTTTGTTTTCATGATCTGTGCATTCAGTCACAGAATACAAGCTTTGTTTTTTATTTTTGGATCATTATACATATAAGTGTGTTCATTTTAATTTCAGTTTTATCCTCTTAACAAATATTAATTTCAAATATTCTTTATTTTCAGACACCTCAAAGTCAGACAACAGCTGCATTTGGCTTTACACCCATAGCCAACATGACATCACCAACCCCAGTTATGATGTCAGGGATGATGTCCCCACCACCTATGATGATGCCAACAATCCCCCTCTACACCCCTGCAGGTATGTTGTCATGTAATATATTTCTATAATGATATATTATGAAATAATTGGAGCATGCAACAAATGTGAAGGGAAGAGTCAAAGTGACAGAGATTGAACAATAATATTAAAATAGATTATATAGAAATGTGACATAAAGGTGTAAACTGGATGATCCTGCTCAAGTTAGGATCAGAGGCAGGCTCTTGTGCATGATAGTCACCCTTCAGCTGGGGGTTTCTTGAACAACTGAGAGACTATCTGCTACTGAATGAGGGTTCTGCTCCATGAACTCAGTCTAATTATTTTGTTGGTATATATTGTCTGAACATCAGTGAAATAAAAATGAAATTTAGGTACTTGGTAAGTTCTGGGTAGCATTAAATATGTATTTTCATTTTTAAAATACCAGTGCTGAAAAGAGAAATAATAAAATATCTGGTAGTATAAAGCCATTATTTGATAAGAGGATATTAATCTCTCTTGCTTATTGGAAGAGAATTACGAATTTTTCAGATTACATTCTGTATGTACACCTCCAGAATATAAAAATAGTATCCATCTCCTTTCTATACGTACTAAGCGCAAGAAGTGATCGTTTTTTTATTCAAGTAAAAAAGAAATTGTGTTGATTTCTTATCAGCAGCCTCATACAGTTTCTTTGTGGTGACTGGAAAGACTAACAGCCAGGATAGAGGGTAGATTTTTATTATGAAAGGGATGTCGAATTCATAGAGTAAATTGGAGGATCAAAGGGCAATGAATTCCATACTCTGTTTTCTACTTACACTCCTTTCGTCTTGTGTGTCTGCAGTGTTGTATTTGGATTGAAGTTCTTGCTTTGATATTTGTTCAGGCTTTTTGGATGCTTTCTTTCCTACTTATTGTAAATAGTGACCTTTCTGGTGTAGTAGAATGTCTGCTTGGGTTTTACTGTGCTTCCAAAGCAAGTTTGTGTTGTCTGTATATTTTGTTCTGTTTTATGAAAAAGTATGAGGATTAAATTATAAATACAAACAATGTCCAAAAATCCTGTCTACTTTTCTATCAAGATCGTAAAGTTCTCTTTGCTTTCAATCCTTTCTACATATTCTTATCCAGTCTAAGATAAATATACAAGTACAATTTAATGCCATGCCTGTGTTACCTAAAATAATTTGTGAGCACATTATATCATATAATTATGAAAATTGTAGGCTGTTGCACCCTGAATTCATGCTGTCTGCTCTTGCTTCCCTTCCATTTTTAACTGGTAACATAATTTTTGTTAAAGAAATTGTAATAGTTTTTTATGTGGTGCAGTTCATTAATGTACCATGTTTTGTGTTTTATGTTGTCTTTACATAGGTACTGGGGAGGTGACAGTTCTTATCTGAATCTACTGGATGGATATAAATTCAGTTTATGTGGAGATCTGTATGAAATTTGTCAAGGAATTTTCAGATTTGATGCATATCTGCTAGTCATGGTGCCCATTTTATAGGAAGTCTCTTAATTTATCAGACTTCTCGAGAAAAATGGTTCAGAATAGAACAGAAATCTAGTACATGGCATATAGTTTATTAATATATGTATGTTTTATGTATTTTAATGAACTGAATATTTAATGAAAATACAAAGTGAAATCATTTTGTACTCCATGCAGTGAGAAATCTATAATGTGACTGGCTCTAAAGCGATGTATTTATGTACGCAATAAACAAATTGCCAGTCATCTGGCTGTAAAATTGAAGTTCTGTCATAACAGTCATAATTAAAAGAAACCAATATGGAAAATTGTATTTTGACATTTTATTGTCAATTAATAAGTGTGCAATGAAACATTATGGTTCTTAATCCCTGCATATCCAGTTGGTTATCATGTAACATTATTTGCATTGATACCAAGCAAGTTTGCACACAGTAGAATTTCTGATTTGTATTCAGGAAGTGACCAAATCTCAGCCATAATATTGACTGTCCTGACTGAGGGTTTTCATCATTTTCCTCAGAAATTTCATGTAAAATTCTGGGACAGCACCTCAAATTAAGCCAGGAGGAATTTCCTTCCACAAACTTTTTAATTCATTAATCACTAATGATCCTACCATTCAACATTAGAATTCTGAGATGCTGAGAGCATCAGTAAATCAACCACACACAAATAAATAAATAAATTCAGGGCATTGACAATTTATGTAATTCTCACTACTTTCTACAGAACATATCTACACCTCTCCTAACTTCACTGACTTCAGAGAACAGTTCATATCATACAGATATAAAATGGTATGGTAATAACTAAAATTTTGGGCCACACCATAGCTCAAGCGGTTAGTCGCTGACTCCCCACTGTGGCGGCCCAGGTTCGATCCTGGGTATGGTCAAGTGGGATTTGTGGTGGACAAAGTGGCGCTGGGGCAGGTTTTCTCCGAGTACTTCGGTTTCCCCTGCCAATCTTCATTCCACCAATTGCTCCACAATCACCCTCAACTATTATCTGGGGCTGGTACAATAGGCCAGATGTGGCTGCAGTGCAAGGGACTTAGTCCCACCCCACTAGCATTAAAAAAACTAAAATTTCAAGTACAGAATATATTCCCTCTTTAGAAGTGTACTTTATCTAATATCCTGACTTCTCCTCATTCCCAAGTATGTTTGTGTGAACTAGCCTAACCAGGTGCTTTCTCTTCTATGTCCTGCATGTTTGTTTGTTTCTTTGTTTGGCTGTCCTGTCTTATCATCACTGGGGTGGCTATTCAGCCCAGTCATCTGGTAGCTTAACATACATGGGTCCTGCAGGGGGCATGACTGGTGCTGCTCAAGCTATGGCTGCCATGCCACAATTCTACTCAGCTCCGATGTCTGCAGATCAAGCTGGCTTTATGCCAATCCCAATATACAACATGCAAGGTACAGTAGATGCTTGCACAGTATTGACTGCATAGTACTGGTAGTATTGAAAGATTTTTTATGCAACCATTAATCATTTGGTGAGTTAATGAAAATGGGAGCCACAGAAAAGTACAGTTGTGTGCAGAGATATCAGTACTGACAAGTGTTCATATCAACAATCCAGTATTTATATAGTTCAAAAATCATTTCAAAGCACATTACTTTGAACACAAATTTATGTTATAATCTTAGAAAAAATATGTGTTTGGAGATTCAGCCAGTCGTGAATCACTTACTACATTAAATTAGACTAAATCAGTACTGGAAAAAAATATGAATTATATAGTCTCTTGATGTAGAAAGGACCAAATGTTTCATCATATAGATGCTGTACAGTGTGGAATATATATGAGTATTTATTAAATCCATAACTGCCAGTTGTATTTCCAGTTGAGTTCTCCTTCCCAGTCCAAATTAAACAAATGAAAATCTCAGATGGAGATTATGCTATATGTCTGTCTGCCTTATGTCATAAATTCCAGGTTATGAATTGTGCCCAGATCGGCAGGACATTACATGCATCACAATAAGTATTTTTACTCACTTCAGAGATATATGTTGCCAAAGAACCAAGTACATCACCTCTGTCTATAGCTCTTGCAGACTGCCATTCATTGGTTAGAGAGAAATTTGAATTTAGCAGTGAAATAAATTCAGGTTCATTGTTGACTGCACTGCAGATGTAATTTTAATTTCTGTTAAAATCAGGCAACAATAACAAATGATTTGTGTAAAAGCTTTCATGCATTTCTGTGCACATTTTGAGCATAACCCATGCATTGCAGTCCAGATATTTATTGGAGTGAAACGTTCTAGAAAGAAATGAAATTACATTTTATACCCAACAGATTTTTATGACCTCCAAGTTTTGAGGTAGTTAAACAAAAGGTCTTTTTTCATTACTGGTTTATTAGATAGCTCAAGAACTGTTTAGCTAATCTTGGTAAAATTTTGTATTTATGCCCAATTTTGTCAGTGGTCAGGCCTGTCTGTCTGTCTGTGACTTATTGCCAGCAAATAAACCATTGGCTAATTTTTTCAAAATTTGATAAAGAAGACTTTCAATAAAATTATTTCTTTTTATTTTGATTTTCAACCATGTTGATCCATAAGAAAATCTAATTTAGTCAAAGTCATAAATGAACTTTTTCATCTATGTTACAAGATATAAATTAAATTTTATAAACAGTCTGCATGTAAGCTTAATGAACTCCAAGGAACACCACTGGGAATTCTGTGTACTACATCAAGAGTTACATCCTTTGCATTCTTCTTATCATTAGTATAATTATTATAACTACAGCCATCTAATGTGAGATAAAGTGTTTGAAGTGTGATCATAACTGAAGTTGCATTGTCAACTCTCATTTTACCTTGCAGCAAGCAAATGAAAAGTGAAACTGTGCAGTCAAACAGTGAGATAATTGAAGACTGATTTTTTTTTACATATTGCACTCAATTTCTTTCCATGTATTTTGTTTTCATGTGTAGATCTCTCATGTCTTTTCTTCTAATTATTGAATGTTTAATGTAGTTATGTATTAATCAGTTGAATCTTTTGTAAAGGAATATGCCTTTGAGCAGCTCTGTAAATATACATACATTTTTCATCTTTATAGTTAATATTTTTTCTGTTTGATGTTATCTTATGTTGCAGTTTCGTTTCAAAGTTGTAAATACGTTGTCTTCTCTTAGTTGTGTCTTCTGTGTATGTGATATTTACTGTATTTGTTCTTTATAGTATTTAATCCACCTACAAACCATCAGTACTAATGCAGCATTGTAAATCTCATGTAGTGATCTAATTGCAGAGCACATATTAATTTCCAAGTGATTAAAATTAAAGTTCTCAAAACTTCAATAATACAGCTTAATTGTATTCACAACACAGCAGACTGCACTAACCCAGAGGTTCCCAAAGTGTGGGGGGGGGGCACATCTCCCTGGTTGTTGTTCATAGGAAAAACTATTTTCAACAAAATATGGAGGAACATTTTTAAAATCCTCTGTTTGGTTGAAATAATTTAGCTTTCATACGATACTACAGAATTCAGACTCACAGAGCATGGGTGGTTTAGGAATTCAATGACAGTATAAGTTTATGTACCATTAGGGACTCAGCTTTGTGGCTGTGTGAGGACATCTAATTCATCTTGGTAGCTCAGAGTATGAAGACAAATATACTGAAGTGGCACCTTAAAATGAAACATTCAGAAATGAAAAACAAGATGGAAGAATACTTCCATAGAAAACTTGATGAAATTCGCATCCAGCAAAAGAGACTTCTTAATACTACTACTATAACATCCAAAACCCTTTTACCATTTTATTAAATCTCATACAGAATAGTACAGAACAAGGAGCCCCATACAGTCACTGAAAGTGTGATACTCCCAGCTGTAATAGACAAGGAACAAACAATGTTCAGTGAAAAATGTGTTCAGTAGCTTCATAATATACTGCTATCAAATAGGTCCCTCAAAGGATCGTTGATATATCAGAAAACTTAGAAAAACAGCTGATTGAGAAGTTGTGAAAAAACTTTTTTCAATACAAGTTGATGAAATGACTGGTTGTAATGATACTGGTCACTTGATAGCTCATGTGTGATACATTTAACATGCAACAGTTAATAAAGACATGCTTTTCTGCAAACCTGTAAAAAGAAGAAGAACAGGAAAAGCGCTCTTCAAAATTGTTGATGATTTCTCAAAAGAAAAAGTCTTAAATATTCAGACTGACTTGGATTGTACACAGATTTAGCAGGTACAATGGTGGGACATAAAGAAAAACTGTAGGCCATAATTAAAAAATCGATACCAGAACCTATGTGGACACACTGTATGATGCATTGTGTTACATTACATTGCATTGCATTCCATGGAACCAGAGTTAGTCAAAATGACTGTAAGATGTGGAATATGTCATATAAATACAACATATATTGCTGGCTATGGAGGAATTATACCCAGAACTGAGTGAAGTGATGGATACAGTTATTGAAACTATAAGCTACATAAAGACATGTCTATTGAAACAGAGATTTTTTTGCAGAAAATTGGGGCATGGTATCAGTCATTCTTGTTTTACTGTAATTCTCATTGGCTGTCAAGGAGAAACGTTATGACTCATGCTTACAACTTGCAAGAAGGATTAATACTGTTTCTAGAAGAAGAAAGTATAGTGTATTGTCATGTGTAGGTTGGTATGCATGATGAGAATGATGGGTTCTAGTTCAGATGATTGGATTTATTAGCACCTTGGTTACAGTCTCAATCACATTTAATTGTAGTGCTATCACTGATTTCACACTTTATAGTTTAATGTTGCACACGCACTAGGATTTTCCATCTTCACTAGTTGTCTCCTGGCAACGGATCTCAACACTGAAACTAGCATTTCAAAACACTATGAAGTCCTCTTGTCATTTTTGTTGAATCACTCTGGAACACAGCTGCACCTACTGAACTCAAAACTTAACTTCCCATGGTCGTCTCTTACTGAGAACTTAGTTGAACAGAACTGCACTTAAAAACTGAAACCTGTTCAAAATCAAAGTCAAAGTCAATGTCACATTGCGACTGATGGTCAATCAGTCAGTCAGTAAGTCTTGGTGTCAAGCCCCATCTGGGGTTCATGACCAGATATTTATTACTGTTTGACTCTCTAATGAGAGGATGAGCCTGTCTTTTGTATATGCTGCTGACCCTTGTGAGCACAGTCTTTCATGGGTCCAAGTCCTTTGGAACTCGTGACCATATTTTACTGCCTCAGGTTTGAGACTTCCCTTTTCATTTTCTCCTATGACTCACAAGGTCACAATGGGGGTATTCGACTCTGCCTCCACATGGGTCTGTAACTGTTGTTATATAGCCTCTGCACCGACCATGCAGAAAACACAGCTTCTGTTGTTGAAACTGTTTACCAAATCATTACATAGCAACGGTCATGATACAGACCCCATAGAAAGCCATTCACATGATAGCTATCTTGCCAGCCCTTTGGCACGCTGACTGTTGCCTAGTAACGAGCTATAAACATTCATCCTATTGTTGAATGTGCTTACACAAGGAGATTTTAACTGTGCTGTTGCCTAGCTACACACGTTACAGTATGATGAACATTTTCGTCGTGAATATTTTGTTTCTGAGTTAATATTCTTAAGTTATATTTTTGAGAAATTCAGTACATCAAACACAAGTATGTAAGGGAATGATACTAACATCATTGTAGTGACTGATAAAGTGAAGGCATCTGTTGGGAAATTGGGCTTGTGAGTCAGAAAGCTATAAGGAAGAAATTTGGAAATATATATTTGTTCGAAGGATTTTGTGGAGGAAAACAGTATGGAAATATGTGGCGCTAGAATTGATCAGTGTTTGATTGATTGATTGATTTATTTAACATCCATAACTGTTACATTATGTACAATTGGACAAGTCAGTTTTTTAAAAAAATATATGAGATTAAACATCACATCAAATGACTAATAATATAAAAAACCATAGAAAAATAACACAATAAATCCTTTAAATATGATAAAACAGTGGATGAGTATAATAAGGCAACAAAAGCTAAACTATAAATTACATGCAATATCTAAAATAAATTACCTAAGTATCTTTGTTCTATTATTAAGCTAATTCTTGTAAAAATATTCTTGAAGGGAATAAAAAGCTTTGCACAACAAGTAATCCTTTAATTGACACTTAAAAACCTTGAACTCTTGAATACTTCTTATTTGAGAGGGCAAGTTATTATACAATCTTATTCCCATGTTAATCACACTCCTTTTACAACGTGAGGTGTTACATGGTTGGACATACAAATTCTGCTTATGTACTGTGTTATAACCGTGCACATCTGAATACGAGATGTTATATATCCTATTTTTCCTTAAAAAACACAACGTCTCAAAGATATACAATGAAGTTAAGGTTAAAATTTTAAATTCACCAAAAAATTCTCTACATGATATCCTGTTATTGACTCTTTTGATCAGTCTTAAACATTTTTTTTGGATTTTAAATACAGTTTGAATGCCCTTTTGACCACAGCCCCAAAAAATAATACCATATCTCAATAAAGATTCAAATTTCGCAAAATACACACTTCTCAAAATTGGAAGACTGACCAAATCTCGTAAGGATTTGATAAGATAGATGGTTTTGTTTAATTTTTGAACTAAATGGTGAATGTGAGAGGACCAACTTAAATTCTCTGTAATATATATACCTAAAAATTTTAAATTAGCTGTGTATGTTATTTTCTTATTATTCAAATAAAGTTCCGGTTTATCAATTTGACGGGGACCACGTCCCTGAAAAAAGAGTGCTTTTGTCTTTTCAATATTAATAATAAGATGATTTACCGCGAACCAATTTTCTAATTGATGCATAGAAACTATAGTTTTATCATTTAAAGATTTAAGATTTTTGTCAATAATTAGTATATTGGTGTCATCTGCAAATAAAACAACTTTCGCTTCATGAACAGCTTTAGGCAAATCGTTTATAAACATTAAAAACAAAAGAGGTCCCAGAACCGAACCCTGAGGAACACCGTACTTTATTTCCTTACACGAAGAGGAGAATGATTTTTGATTTGGAGACTTGGCATCAACATGGTCAATTTCTACAAACTGGGATCTACCCGTAAGATATGATCTCATCAAAGAGAGTGAAATTCCTCTAAACCCATAAAGTTCCAATTTAGCCAACAGTAATTTGTGGTTTATCACATCGAAAGCCTTGGAAAGATCCAAAAAAATACCCAAAGCAAAAAACTTATTGTCTAATGCTTTCTGAACATCCTCAATAAATGATTGCAGTGCTGTATGAGTTGATTTATTTTGTCTAAAGCCGTTTTGGGCATCAGATTTCAAAATCTGTTTATTTAAGAAATTCACTACTATGTTATATATTAATGTTTCAAAGATTTTAGAAAAAACAGGTAATAGTGAAATAGGTCTATAATTAGATAATTCTTGAATTCGTCCTCTCTTATGAATAGGGCGAACTTTGGCAATCTTCATCTGATCAGGAAAAATTCCAGTACAAAGAGACAAATTAAAAATAAATGTTAAAGGTTTACAAATAGGTTGAATACTAAATTTTACTAACTTTTCTGGGATTTCATCATAGCCCGCGGTGTATCAAAGATCAGTTGGTTAATCTGCAGTCCAGGTTTTCTAAGTACTTTCCAGAAGCATTAAGGGATCACAAGTGGATCACAGATTTACTCCATGCTTATTCACTCCAGAATTATGAATTTTCTGTTGAATGATAAGAAAATTGCATTGAAATTATATCTGATACTTCTTCAAAAGGCCAGTTTCCTAGGAAGCTGTAAGTAGAATTTTGGGAGGGCATTTGAATGGAGTTTGCTCACCTCAGCAAGAGAACATTGAACATCCTCCTTCCTTTCAGAACTGGATTTTCAGCAGGGGCAGCAAATTTTGATAAAATTTTGTATGACATTATGCTATTGGAGATTACTCCATTCTTGTAGTTTATAATTTTTTACATTCGGTAATGACAGCATGGTGGATGCAGAAACTTTTTTGGTGGGGAGGGCGCTAGTGCCATTATTAAGTTGCATGGCAACCCATGTTAAGCATAGTAATAATACTGTCAGGTCTAAAGGGTTAGCTTGACAAATAATTGTGGGTTATAGATTTGGTGATTGGATTTATTGGATACTCACAAATCATAACTACAATCAATTACAAGGCTCTTAAAGATTACTGTAACTATCACACATAAAATAAAGTCTTCACCGCTTGCTTACTAGTTGTTACTTGGTAACACTTCACCTATTGAATCCTCAAATTTTGACAAATGCAAGGCATTTTATAAAATGCTGGTGAACCTAATAGAGATCCATTACTTCTGTTCATGTCTGCATTTTGCTGGATACATCTGTAATAGCATGGTAACCAAACCCATTGTCCAGCAATGGACGTCTATTCTCATTGACAGTGTAATGCTCAGGAACTTGTTTATCTGACTGTTGCTTAGCAGTGCATCCCAATACTATCCACGGTAACAAAGTGACGAAAGACAGTTATATGATAACTGAATTGAAAATTATAATTAATATTGTAAATATGTTCATTAAATGTATCCAGAAATATTCAGAATGCCATAGTACAAGGACACTGTGTGGAAATTCTGTGCACTCTGGTATAGAATGCACACTTTTAATCTTATTTATCCTCGTTCTGTGAATAGGTCTAAGTCTGCCAACATTCCCGACACCAGGACAGCAGCAGGCAGGTTCTACAGGAGTGGATCCAGCAGTTGCAGCATATCAGCAGAACTTGCAACGTGCATTCTTGCAGTCAGCAATGGCACAGAACATTCAGATCCAGCAACAGCTGCTTGCACAGAATCAGGCTCTACAGCAGATGCTTGTTCAGCCTCTGGCAACCCAGCAGCAGACCCCAGTGAGTACTGACATATCCTGTACATTTTATCCTGTTCAGTAATGATGAATGACACATTTGTTCTATGTGTTATACACAAGTAAGAAAATTACAGTAATTATTAGAAATAAACACTATAAAATTCATTACACAAATTTACTTTAAGATAATTGTAATACAATATTAATTGTGGGGGGGGAGGGAGAAAGTTTTCTTAGTACACCTTCATTAGAGAAGGTACTGTATGTGGGTGAAATTTAATTAAAATAATTAGAGGGTATTTTTAAAAATGAATGATCTTGTCCTTTGATTTTCATGCAAGAGAACTAGATAGCACTCTTTTACCAATTCCTAAATTTTACCCTTACAAAATCTTGAAGTAAAGAACTGAAGAAAAAACATTCATTCAGGTTGGTGAGATATAAAAGAGACTCTATCCTCAAAATGTAAAATTCATGACTTAGGTGATATGGAATATGTATAGCAAAGGAGGCCATATAAAAAAAAATATAAGGTCAGTACACGAACTTGTCTTACAAAACACATTCTGTTCTAAAAATTCATCTGCTACATACAAATAAACTTCACTTTAATTTAAAGACAGCTGTTGGAGAATGATGATCTAGAATAATCTTTTATAACAGCAAAGGATCCCCATGCAGAGGCAGCTTAGAATAGATTCACCATAGGCCTGTTAGCTGTAGAAAGCAACTGAAAGGGAACCAGGTGCCTGGGGGGTATAACTGAACCACCTTGTCACTGGGGGACATGAACACAGTGACTTAGACTTTCAGGATTAGGTTTGAATGCAGGGCTGAAACCTTGCTCCGAAAAAAAAAGCTGTTGTGGAATCCAAAGAAGTGAAAACCAGATGCATTCTCACAGAAACGTCTAAGGAAGGCCATGGCTCAAAAAGAGCTTTTTTGTCCAGTGATGATGATGAATAGTAAAGGGTGATCCACTCATAGGTATTATAATGAAAAATCAATTGTGATGGATGGGAACTATTTTTAGATAAAAACCACAGAACTAACTAATGCTGCTGAGTACAGTATGCAGCAAAGATAGGAGGTAAACATATGTGCAGCTTGGCTTGTTTCTGTTGTAGCTAAAATTCATTATTTGTGCTGAAGAATAAATATTACTGTCTAAAATACATTAGCATGAAAATTCATTGTGTCCTTTCTGTTTTTTTCTTTTCGTCCCCCCTTGTACAGTGTATAACGATGGGTGAACATTATTGGTGGCTGCCAGCACCAGTTTTGAAGTGCTGCTGCATGAGTACCATCTTGCTTTATATATGTGCTGTGAATAAAGATAATGTGAATTTTTCTCTGATGTGGAATGCATGTGTACTTGACTGAATGGTAATAATGTGACAGCTAACTTTTAACATAATAATATTTTCACAGTGGCATGATCCTAGATCCTTATGATTCTGTTCAAGAACAGTGTTCTCCAGTGTTTATTGCTACATGGAACACCAAACCCTTAATTGATTCATCACATTCTAATGCTGTAATTTAGTTAATAATGAAGTTGAGAGATGATCTTCAATTGACTATTTGAAGACCAGAGGATGAGGAGAACTTTTAAGCATTACAAAGAGGAAGTAACAGAGAATGGAAAAAGCTACATTTTTAAATATCAGAGTGATCAAATTACAGTGACTCACATGGATGATACGTGTGGAACATAATGGGAGTGTAAAAATATTAGTAAGAAACCTGAAGAGAAGATAGCGGTTGGGAGACCTTTGGCATAGATATGACAATAATACTGTGGTGTACAGACCCATTGCTAGGCAACAACCATGAAACAAGCAACAAGACAAAAGCCATTACTAGGCAGTGGACAGTGTGCCAATGGACTAGCTGGAAAGCAGTGTTTTCTGCGGGTTGCGCATGGATGACTGTGTATGCAACAATTGATTCAACAGTGAGGAGCGGTGTTTGCTATGCCATCTGTGCCAAGGGGTTAGAAGTGGGACAAAGTTTAGAGATTAATTGTTGTGGGATATTTGCTGGACAGTAAGGATGTAAGCAGAGTACTTTGTCAGGATCTGTTACTAAGAAATAACTAGTGAAGATATAGAAGATTTTATGTGTGCTGTAGTTACAATGTTCTTTAGAGTATGTAGATCAGTGAGGCTGTTATATTTACTTGTAGTTATGAGATGTGTTTATAAGTGGTCTGTGAATCAAGTCACCAGTCCAAACTCTGTCTATAGTCACTCATACATGTGACAATATTATAAACAATTTTCGAGAAGGAGTGTGTGAGGATATGAATTGGATTTATCTGGCTTAGCATTGTGTCCCTAAAAGATTCTAGTGAAAATGGTAATGAAGCTTCAGGTGGCATAGTCTCAGGAAGAACTCTGCAACATGGTGTTAGTTTAGTTTGTTTAGTTCATTTTATGGTGCCTGCTGATCACAAACTGTGATGATGATATAACGTCTGTCATTTGTACAGCTACTGAAATAAATGATTTGTTAGAAGTTGGTAAGACGTTTGGCTGTGCAAAACATTTCCTTATCAGAAAATTGGAAATAATACTGCAATAAACACCCAGTTACCTGTTATCCGGGCATCTGTAATTCTCATCAACCCAGTAAAAATTTTAAAGAACATTCACCAAGACAAATCTATTATATGCATATTGTAATGTGTATGAGTGACTAAAGATAAGGTTTGGACTGGTAATTGGTTTTATTGACTGCTTACAAATCGTAATTATAAGTAACTATAATGCTGTTGGTAATTCACACGCTCTATAATTCAGTACAGCACACATTAAGACACAGTCTGCTGTGTCTTTGCCAGTCATTTCCGGGTAACAGCTTCCAATGGCAGATATTTCTCTTACTCTCAGTTCCAGAACTATCTCCATGCATCAGCTTACAACTTCTAACAGCAGCAGCTCACAATGACCAAACTGCTGTAATCCTCTAACTAACAGCTCACCAATCAACTTTGTTCACTCCACTGTACTCAACTGCACTGTACTCACTAACTGCACTGAACTTGGTTGGTCGAATGATATAGCCTCAGAGTGGACCCACAGAAGATGCTGCATACAACACCTCTTCTATTGTTGTCTGACATCACCTTGTACGTGATGTGTTCCTCTGTTGCCTGTGTACAGGCCATTACCTAGCAATGGGTCTAAATGCTACAATATATGTATCCAGTATGTCTTACAACTGGTTGTCATTAGCAGTGCAACTCATTATTCTTCCACATACAGTTGTCATTTCAGTAGAGGTTAGTTACTTTTGTGATCAAATTGCCTTATGTGAATTATCCAAAATATTCACTCATTCATTCACTATGTCAACTAAGAATACTCCCATGCAAAAATTAAAGCACAACCCCCTTGTTTTGATTTTATATTGGATTTCTACAAAAGTTTCATCATGCAACCAACAGACTCAAGTAACTAACTAACTGTAACTAACTGTATATGCTGGATAATTCTGATTTTAAGTGCAATTGATTTAGTAATTTCTTCACAATTTATTCAATTCATTTAGCCTAAAGTATTTATAAAAATGGGTTAAGACTGAGACAGATAGGCTTTATTTCTATTCTGGCCTCTGTCTGCAAAGGAGGTGACATGTGTTGTTCAAAAAATGGAAAACTCTCATGATTTGATAGTAGATGGGGTGGGTTGTATGGGACAGGATATGCAAGTCACACATTATGTGGAGATTTGTATAGTTCAAAGTGACAAAAATCTGCATCCAAATAATCTAGGATCAATTAAATGATTTAAAATCAGTAAATAATCCACCATAGCCTGTATACACTTTGTAGAGTTCAAACTGGAGATTACTATTCTGGAGGAACCACAAATTTTATTGTTCACTTGCTGAACGTTATTTTTAACGATTAATACGATTCGATAATTTCTTCTGAAGCAGATCATAGAGCATGCTGCCCATATGAGGCCATATGCAAACTACTATCAGGTTTACTTAATGATTATTATATGTTTCTGTAAGTTCTACTATTTGCATAAAATTGTGTAATCTTTTCTATATTATTATGTTCTGTTATTAGTCTTGTGCATATACGTATGTCAGTAGACAAACCATGAAACTCAAGATTTGAGTTTGCTTCTTACCTAAGAGTGTAATGACAACTTGAGGTCTTTGTTACTATATTCTTTAATCAAGTTTTGAGGAAGGTCTCTAACCTGTACATAATCTGTTTTCTGAAATTATTAAATGAATTCAGTAAAATGCAGAGATCAAAATAATGAGATCTTTATGCTTAATTTCTTACCATTACTTTCATTCTCCCACCATGGGTAGCCATATTGATAAATTGTATATTAGCAAGACACAATAAGTATATTTTGTACTCTCATTATGTAGTTAATTATTCTATTGGAAATTTGAACATCTAAGACAGATAGTAGGAAACACTTGTAACTTTTGTTCAGTTCAACACTTCATAAAATTACCCTGTGTTTGAAGGTTGTGGAGATGTATTTAGTTCAGCTTTTACTTGAAGGTTTCCATTCCAGTTTTTTTTCTGTACAAAACTTGTGGAATAATGATTTAACTTCTCTTGTACTTACCACCTATTTAAAGAAATTACTTGTTACATTTTGTTAAGTTGTGCAAACATTTCTTTATCATAAGATTATTATTAATACTACTTAGCTAGTCATTTCCAGTTTATACATTTAGCCTCAGGCATGTACAGAAATGGGTTATGGCCAAGATAGATAGGTTTCATTTCTCTTCTGGCCTCTGTCTGTGAAAGAGGTGACATGTGACGCATGATTATTCTAGGGTATGCACGTGCTCAGCATGTCAGGAGCTGCTCCTTCTTCTCTCTCCCACCAGATGGCAGGGCTGATGCAGCCCCCAACATTCGATACGCTAGGCAGGAACTCGAAGGTACTTACTGACAGCATGTTCTGCCTCTACTCAATGTCTTCTTCAGTTCCAGTTGTCTTTCACTTGAGTCCATACTTTCATTTGTATTCTGGAGTAGGAAGTTTATTATATATTGTTCTACTAATTGTAGTAATATATATATGTTCTTTTATCTAGTTCCACAACCTACACTTTTGGGAGATAATGAGGAGTTTTAGGTTAATGTGGGATGGGAATTTTAAGTGAGTGTACTGATAGGCTAGCCAATCACAGTGACCATGCTTTCTATGGCATAAAATATCTTACTCAAATGCTGGGATCACGGGTTCAAATCCCACTCAAGTCATGGATATTTGTCTGTGTTTATTGCGTGTTTTTATTGCCTTGTGTAGGTATCAGCCTTGCATCAGGCTGATCCTCCATCCAAGGAGTCCTACCAACTGTCAGAGATTAAGAAACTAAATTGAAATGAAATGTTTCATGGATGCCCTATGCTCCAAGATGGAGCAACAAGAATAGACAGACAGACAGACACACAGACACACAGAAGAATGGAAGGAAGGATGAATGAATGGGTGCATAGGTGGACGGGTGATGGATGGATGGATGGATGGATGGATGGATACTGACTGGCTATAGCTTGAACTACAGAGAATTCATTCCTCCTAGGGGCAGAGATACTTCTTTAACCACCACCTCAAGAACAGCTGTGGTGCTCACTGAGCCTCCTATGTAATTGTTAAATAGGTGTATTCCTTTTGAATGAAACAACTGCAGAGTGAAGCTGACCAGTCACCCCTGCCTAGTGCCAAGTTTAAGAATGCATGGGGCTATAATTCCACTCCCCAATGCATCCTAAGAGTGTCATATTCGGTTAAATAAAAGCTTGAGTTTGCAATTTTATGAATGCTGCATCAGGTAGAACTGAAGGTAAAGCACATTTTGACTTTTCTGGCATCATTCTGAAAGGAATGGAAAATAAAAAGTTGGTGCAAAGAATGTTCATACTTTCTCATATATGATTGACCTTGACTGCATTACCATGGAAGAAAAATTAAGTTTTGTTTGGTAGACTGAATAACAATGAAATCTATGTGGTTGGTAAAGCAGGTTTTAACAAAATTGATGTTGTGCATTTGGCTCCTAGTGTGCATACCATTATTTTTCTGGAAATAGCACCTCTGCCATTTCATGTAGGAAGATTGTCTCCACAGTTACTGAAATATAATAAAAATCATTAGATGTCTTCAACAAAATGACCATTTTGTTTTTGGAACCCATATGTAGGGTCCATATATTTAGAGCTAAAGTGTTCATATCCACTGGGCACTGACTTGTAATGGATAAGTTTTTAAATACCAAATATTAGCAAAATCCATGCTAGTAAGACACACATCTATGTATTCATATGGACAGACAGACAACATTCAAAAACTCACTTTTCATATTCAGGGAGGCCAAAAATGCATAAATTCTTCAAAATGTATGCATGACTTTATTCACAATCATAGAGTTTTCTTGTAGTGAACATGTTACATATATGAGAAAGTAAAATGATAATACAGATAGGTAACAGCAAAAATTTTATGATTATTAATGCTATATAGTAATAGTACTGCTTATATTATTTTATTGTAAGTACAATTGTACTGGTCATGAGTCCATTCATTACTGCTAGTATTGGAACAGACGAACACAAACAAAGTGGAAGATTGGACAGTGATGGGAACAATGCACTGTTGTACAGATTATGGACAAGGTATTTATTACAGTTTTCAGTGTTTACAAAGTCATGTGCTACTAGTTACTAATGTTTTAATTACATACACTATTTCTGATGAGAACAGTCAAATTAAACATAGTTCTATAAACACACATTATACAAGTATTATTACTGTAAATATTATGGAAGGATAAAGAGAAAGTTGTCCCTGTGTTTAACTAATTATGCACTACGCCATGAAGTCATATAGGGGAGTGGATGTATAAATCCACATTTTCTTGACCTTATCATTAGTTGGAGGTGAGTGGTCAGCTTGACGCCCTGGCTGCTTTACCCCTGGGAAAAGTGCTCCCAGTACCCATTGGATAGGAGGCTGGGTGGACCCCAGAGCTGGTCTGGATGATGTGTAGAAGAGAAAATTCTTGACCCTACAGGGACTCAAACTCCAACTCCTTGGTCATCCAGCCCTTAGCCAGTTGCTACACCCACTGCGCTACCCCGGGAAAATAGTTTGAACCTGTTTAGTTTTGAATGCCTATAGTGCATGTCATGATTCCAATATAAATCAAGATTTCTTACTTTGGAATACTTTGAAGTGTAACCTCACATTTTAATTTCTTAATGAATGAGAGTATTTCAGTAACCTAAAGTACATTTTGAAACTAACAGCTGTACATATTTATAATTTATTTTAAGATAAGAAGCATGGTCATCTTCAATCATCTTATGCAGTTCATTGCCTGGAGTAATATTTTACATTTATTTAGTTCCGAACTTGGCCTACCTCCAAACATTTTCATGACTAAAAATCTCTAGCATGTCTGAAGGTTTTTATTGTAATTGGATTAACAGTTATTTAATGAATGAATTGCTGTTAGAACAATGTGCTTGTATTTTTTTAGGTATCTTTCCGAGAGCCAGAGAATGGAGAACTGTGGTCAACGGAAAAACGAGTCGGTTCTAATGTCACAATGCCTGCCATGTCAGCAAGCATGCCACTTCAGCAACAGATTCCTGCACCTCCCCTCCCTCCAAAGTCCCATTTTAATGCTGCTTCACCATACCAGCAGCAAAGTCCAAGCTTCATAAAACAAGAGACTACAGTCAAAGCACAGGTAATTCAACATTAGTCAGGAAGTATTAGTGTATGTTCGTCAGAAGTTAACATACCTAAGCAGTGAAGTTCAAGTTTAGATTAGTAGCTTCAATATTTTGATAAGAAAAGCCTTCTCTAAAAAAGGTTAAGATAGAAAACTACTGCAGTAAAGGATAACAAGTATTAACTGGCCTCCAATTTGTCTTATATTAAGCAAAACAGCAGTAGTGAAATATGTAATGAGGAATTTCACATTTTGTATGCTTCACCATATACTTAAGGATGATGTAATCAGGATTGGTGAAACATATAACAGGTATGAGGAGATGAGGAATGTATACAAAATTTTAGGCAGGAAACCTGAAAGGAAAGTTTAGTCCTAAATGGGAGGACAATATGGAAATGAATGCTACAGAAATACAAGTTAAAAGTGTGGACTGAATTTATTAGGCTCAGAATATGGTCCAATGGTAAATTCTTGTAAGCATGTTGATGGAACTTCAGTTTCCACAAAAATGCAGTGGATTTCTTGAAGTAATGAGTGATTAATAGCTTTTAAAAAACTTTTCTCCATAGATTAATTTAGTTGAGATTGACAGCATCACATTCAGTTATACTGGAAATAATTTGGCAGAATTTAGAATCCTGCATGTGATATATTTAGAATATGTGGTTGTGTATTAATTGCAAATTTGCCATTAAAATATATTTTTAATATGAATAACAATTAAATCATTAATGGTTGGTTGTAGTGTAGGCACTCATGTATTAAAATAAATCTGAATCATCAGGGTTAAGTTTTTGACCCAGCCTTAGTGAAGAAATTTGGAGTAATAATTTAAAACAATGCAGAAAATATATACTGAACCCGAGTCATAATGAAAATGCAAGACCGTTTTAGGTTTAATTGGTATAGTAGGAATATAGTTATAAGATTAGGTAACCTGCTGGTGGTAACACTCTGAGAGTCTTGAAGAATGGAGTTGTTTAATAACAGGTTCTTCGTTCCCAGTCACCCCCAAACCAGCTCCGTCTGTCTCCCACTCGGAAGCTCAGCCCTACCAAGAGTCCAGGTTCAGGCACCCCTCAGGCAGCCTTCACCAATGTGCTGAGTGAACTCAAATCCAGGAGGAGCTCCACAGAATCTGGGTACTCTAACAAGGTAGGCAGTCATTTTTTAGTTAACAGGTACAGCATCTGATTTATCTTTGTGTAGTGAGCATGTTTGAAATACTTTCACAGGGGTTACTGTCCTTCAGCATATTGGACTGATTACTGTAGTGAAACTAGAATTTTGAATTAATATAGAAAATTTGTAGAGGTTTAAAATTTCAATCAAGGGACTTCAAAATTACTGCAGTTTCCATTGATATATGCTATTTTCAGTCTGTCTTTCTTGTTACTTTTTCTCTTTCCTGTTATCCTGTCCCCATGTCATTTTTTGACATGTCAGTGAAAACTTAGCAGTAGAGAAAACGTAATAAAAAATCTGAAACTTCATTGAATCCAAGTATATCAGTACAGTTGGTATTTTCAAGAAGGGTTCAAATCTCAGGCCTGCAACCAGTCATCCTAACAGGGATTTTTGATGTTTTACCAGTCCAGGTAAATATGATGACAGTCCCTCAAATTAGGCAATAACTACTTTCTTTCATGTCTTTCCTGAATTCTTATTTGCCATCATCCTGCCACTTGGCACTGTATAATCTGAATTGTGGACACCGTCATTAAATAAATTATAAGTAAATGTATGACTATTTTAATATCATAATTATGATTTCTGTTTTTGCTTACAGATAAATTCTTCAGGAGCTGCACCTCCTCCTCCCCCTCCTATGCCTCCGCCACCAGAACATATGGATCCATCAGAAACACGCCCCTTTCTGGATCCTTATGGCCGAGCAAAGACAGTAAGAATTGGCAAGTGGCGATGGCCTCCTCCAAAATCTGAACAAGATGAAAGTTCAGACAGCTTCCTGCAGTTCAAGATGAGACAGCACCAGCGCAAAACAACACCACAGCAGCAGCTGCATTCACAGGTTTGTTTAGTATTCAAAGAGGCTGAAATTAAGCTACAGAAATTTCACTTAATTTTATTATAAATTATCATTCGTGTGTTTCTTTCAGCAGTTCTTTCATGTGAAAATGATATTATCTTATGTTGAGGCCAAATGGTTATCACTCATGTTTCATTTTTGGAAGGTGCTACTTGATTCTGAACCTTAATGCCCAATATCCCAACAGAATTTTGATGGTTTACCTCTGTCCTTCCATGCAGATGCCATGAAGTTATGACAGCTTCCTTATATATCCCTTTCAACCATTAATCAAAATCAACATGTCATTCAGCATTATGCTACATAATGAATACAGTTAAAAAGGCATTGTTAAGTAAACTAATAAATAAATTAAAATCCCTGTTTTTTTATTTTTATTTTTATTGCTATTGCTTTCAAAAAAGGTTACAAATTTCACGTTCATTTACTTTTATTTTTTAAGCTGATTTGGAAAATGATTGGTTCTATATGTCTGCTTAAGAAATGCTTTCAATGGGAAGAGTTCTATCTTTTGTGATATAATGCAGGCTTTGATTGCTTCCAGCTTTATGCTGGTTTCTTGCTTGGGTTACTCCTCAAGCACTCAGAGAACCTCAAATCCTACTATTTCCAGTTTGTATGGTTAGAGACATGACAGTTTCTGTGGCATTTTTGCCATTTTAGAATATTGTAGTTTGTTGTAATAATGTAGTTCACTGCATGTATTTAAATAATTTATTATTGATTTAACTGAAAGGTTCCAGTGTGGCTACAAACACAATAAAGTAAGCCCAAACTGTTTATCGTAATGTCATGCAAGGGAGATTACTTAAATGAATTTAAGTATCTTCAAAAGTTTACCTATATTGTGTATAGGATGGGACTTCTGGGTGGGTATGAAATCAAGAAGTTTCAAAGCATCTTCTGAGGAGAATGTAAGTCATCAATTCTTCAGACAGGTTACATACATGTGCTTTGTTATTAATAGTCCTGACAATTGCATTTATTGGATATTCATGGAGGTACACCATTTTTGTAGGAATTTGGTGAGCTGTCAGAAGGAATTGAATGGGAAGAATTTGAAATCAGTGGGTCTCCTGGTGGAGTCAGTCATGAGCGATCACCAGGTAGTGCTGGCATTAGTAGGAAAGATAGTCGGTCTGGCAATGTGGGTCACCACAGAGTGCTGGATGGAAAAGACAAGAATGCAGTCAGGTAAGGATGATTATCTTCTCCACAGTATAGCACACATTTTGCTCTCCAGTTTACCTTTTTACATATTTTTTATTGCTAGTGGGGTGGGACTAAGTCCTTTGTACTGTGGCCACTTCTGGTCTATTGTACCAGCCCCAGATGATAGGTGAGGATGATTGTGGAGTAACTGGTGGAATGAAGATTGGCAAGGGAAACCGAAGTACTTGGAGAAAACTTGCCCCAGCGCCACTTTGTCCACCATAAATCCCACTTAACCAGACCCGAGATCAAACCCAGGCCACCGCGGTAGGAAGCCAGTGACTAACTGTTTGAGCTATGGTGTGGCCTACCTTTTTACATAAGTGTCAAGGAATTCCTAATATGTATATATCATTCTTCCACTGTTTTTTCTGGATATGAAAGTTCTTAATCAATTCTTAATTTCCTCGTTCACTTCTGCTACTTTCTGTACAACATTGACTGATATAATTACATCCAGTTATTTTGAATTTTAGTGTTTGTGTGCTGATCTGGTTTATTGATATGGCATGTACATTGTTTTTACAGAGCATTTGAAGTTGGGGCAGCTCGACCGAGCCCAGGCAGTATAGGCAAGCTTCACATCAGTAGCGAAATGCGAACAAAACTTGAAATGGTCACTGCCAATCATAGTCTCAGGTAGCTATATGTACAAAAACACACAGACTGCACCACCACAATTTGAATGTTGTATGTTTTTATGAAAATTACAGTATATTTTATTCTGTAAAATTTTATGTCTGAGAATTTACTCATAGCAAATAGCCATTATTGCTACATTTCTTAAACTTGAGTAAGAGAAAGTAAACCTATACTTCTGTAAACAGTTAACAGCAATACTCAGCTCATTTGACTGTTTTTCCTGTCACTGGGTCACTGACTTCATGTATTTTAGAAAAGTGGATTGTATAGTCAGAAAGAGTGAAAATTCATATACTTTTTTTTTTTGTTTTAAAATCTTCAGAATAAAAGCGGTATTTAATGTTTATTGCATGTATGAATCTTTTATACTTTTGTCTCCTGTCTCCATTGTAACATGTGTTTCTGCTCTTTCCATCTGGCTTTATAGTTAAGATTTGAGGTTTTCACAGCTGGGACTATGAAGAATGCCATCTTCTGGGATGTGGCGCTGCATAGATAGGTATACCTACATGGCGCAACATCCAAGAAGATGCATTCTTCAACTTTATATTTCACTCTATCTCAAAGTGTTCTGTTAAGGTAGTAAAGTAACAATCTTGGACTAAGATGTTGATAATATGTACCCATTTTCTGTTACCATTGTGATTTATTTGTAAAGATATATCTTAAAGTTCTTTTTAATTTTGTTTCCTTTTCTTATTGCTTAATATAATATTCTAACCATAAATCTGATTCTCACGACTCAAGTATTAGAGAAAGACATGTAAAAAGCCACAATATAAAGTAACATGTTGTAACTGATCACACAGCTATTGCAGCTGGCATCCAGCTACAAACTCCATCCTTCTTCAATGTGTTGGGTGTATGGGGTATGAAGATTGGGTGAGGAGAATGTATGATAAGGTATTAGTTAGGGCTTGAAAAGGTATTCCTGTGATGGTAATGTCTTATCAGATCCTCCCTTTCCTTTCTTTTGGTACATTGTGATTGTTCAAATTACTGATAGAGCAGTTGATTTAGCAACAAGGCATGTTTGAATTGGCATTGAATCAGGAATGGGAGATTAATTTAATTGTGACTGAATAAACCAAGACTTTGCTTGGTGAACATTTATTTACTTCTTTCTCTGCCAATTTAATATTTGTTGATTACATTAATACAATTTATGGTCCGAATCGTTAACTGAGAAGTGTACATTGATTTGGCTAACACAGGTAATACTTCTAAATATATAATAATATTTTGAAAAGTTTGATGACTGTTCCCCCTTGCTATCTTTTAATGAAAACTTGGTCTTGCACACACTGAACTTCTACCACCCTTAATTTTCAAACACTTATACGTATAGTGACATAGTTTTATTCTGATATAAAATATATGAATTCTGCCTCACTCAAATTAAAACTTCTTTCTAATTGGTTAGTGACACAAATGGGTGAACACATGAACCTCATGCAATCCAGTCACTGCAGACCTCAAGTTGCCAATTATAATAATAGATACAAAGTGCTATCGGGAAGTTCCATGGCTGTTATTGTTATGACTGCCTTGGAGAAAAAAGATGAGAGGGGAGGGCAAGGTCACATTTCTGCAAGCCTATTGCATCAGTCTGCCATGTGACACCACTCTGTGAACACGCACTGTTTTTACATGAGTGCTTTTTTGACTTCATGTTTCATTTTGTCTGCAATGGATGGCAAAATGAAGCAACGTGTCTGCATCAAGTTTTCCCTGAAGCTTGGTAACTCTGGTACCGAAACCTTTGGAATGCTTCATGAGGCTTTTGGAGAACATTCTTTAAGCTGAACAGCGATTTTTGAATGGCATTCACGTTTCAAGGCTGGTTGAGTGTCAGTTGAAGGTGACAAACGTTCAAGAGAACCAAGCTCAAGCAAACGATAGAAAGTATTGAAAAAATCGAGAACTCATCCACGAAGACCATTGCCAAACAATCCATGAGCTCACAGACACCGTTGGGATAAGTTATGAAGTTTGCCAGGAGACCTTAACAGAAAATTTGAACATGCACCGCATTGCCATGAAATTTGTTCCCTGACTGTTGACAAATGATCAAAAGCAGTGACTCATAAATATGTGTCTCATGCTACAGGAGGAGGCTAATGAGGATCGAACTTTTATCTCTAGGATCATAACAGGTGATGAAAGTTGGATTTACTGTCATGATCCTGAAACAAAGTAACTATCGTTGCAGTGGAAGAGCCCACAATCACCAAGAGCAAAAACGTGCAGAGATCTGGAGTTCAACAAAGAACATGCTCATTGTTTTTTCCAATGTGAAGGGGATTGTTCACCATGAATTTGTTCCTTCTAACAACATGGTCACCTCTGACTTTTATGTGACATTAAAGACTGGAACTTCGGTGCAACCACAACTGGCTCCCTCATCACAACAATGCACCCGCCCACATGATGAGAACCACATCATGTATCACATATTCCTGTGAAAACATTTGTAACTTCCTGCCAACAGCAATAAAGTTAGGTGTCTGTAGTCCAAAATAAAAACTCCTTAGAATTTTGGAATACACTGTTACAGTTATAGCACACCAGATGCTTAGAACTATATCATCCTTTATCCTTAACATATGTTCTAAGCCTTCTGTTTATCATAAAGAGCATAGAAACCTTTCTGAATCTGTTACACATCTTAATAACCTTCAGATATCCTGGGGATAAACCTAGATGCGTGGCNTTGTTTATATTGACATGTTCTAGTCTGTATTTTAACATGTTCTATATCCTATGGTTTGTAACCAGTTTTGTTGGATCTTCTGGAACTCGAAATAAATTACAATTACAATTACAATTACATATGGCTGAAACTGGCACAGTGTATTGTGACTGATGAAGATTTAAAATATTCCAGGGCCAGCAATAAACCGGAGAAGCCTGGTGTGATTCCTTCAAAACGAGATGACACATCTCCAACTAGTCCTCATAGGCCTGTAAAGAAACTTGAGGACAACAGAAGACTCATGCTGGAGCAGCAGTTGGGTGAGAACCAGCAACCAATTGATTCTCCATTAATATAAGTGTGTAGGAATAAGTTATTTTAACTGCCAAACCTTATGTTTTGTCTCTTCTTGTGAAAGATTCATAAATTATCTTGCAAGGAATAGAAAATATGAAGGGTTATGGATAGGCTTGTAGTGTAGTACAATGAGTTCATGGCTTCCAGATGTTTTTGGTTGTAGTTTTCAGTTAAAAGAAATGTTTCAAATTTGTCCTAGATTACTTATGAGACAGTTTTTAGTCTGATATACTAAATGAAAATGTAAAGCCTATGTCTATGTGTTTGGCCCCTTTTTCAACATTGGAATCATTGGACTGGTTTACACTAAATTTGGCATAAATATTATTTATTGGAGGCCATTCAAACCTCATAATTTATAACTTTCCATTATCAAAAATGATAGCATGGTGGACATACAAATTTGTGAGGTGGCAACGACACTGCCAATGGCCGTGGGGATCCATTGCGCTGACCACACAACACCCGCAACACCCTCTATCCACAAAAGTTGGCACTTTGCCAATAAGCGGCAGTCGCTCAGTATAGTTCACTTGCAGACTCTAGCCATGGAGTTTTTTTTTTTTTTTTTTTNAGCTAGGGTTTTTTTTTTTTTTTTTTTTTTTTTTTTTTTTGGCAACGACACTGCATACCACTGGTTACATGTAGTTGCTGCAGTTCCTGTGAATTATAAATTTGTATTACCAAAATAAGAGTTAATGACATAAGGTTTTTGTCAACATATTTGCAGAGGTAATGCAATTTATACTTTTAATCCCCATTCTGAACATCAGTGAACTTAATAATTCTGTTTACTAAGATACTCATAGTAATTTAATATGGAGTAAACCGTATAATATCCTTGATTATTAACATTGTGTATGATAGAAAACAGAATGAAGGATGAACACTTAATACAAACTAAAATATTTGATTCTATGCAGCTGGAAATTGGGATTCTGTGGACACTGTTGAAGCTGTAACGTCAACCCCACTGCGGGGAGTGAATAAGGAAGAACGCTCTGAAGTGCAACAGACAAATATTGTCCGCAGCCAGGTTAGTGAATTTATTAGCATCATGAAAATTGCTCACAAACTGCTATGAGCCCTATATAGAGGGACAGAGGAGCATTCAAAAGTTCCACATTCTAAACTGTTGAGTCATGTCTCTCACACCAGCTGTCTCAAGGTTTTTCATTGCGTTTACTAAATGAATGATATTTTAAGGGGTGAATTGCTGTCAGAATAAGGTGCTTATATTGTTGAGGTTAAGAAAAGTTGGTTCATAACTTTTCTTAGAAATTTACAGACATAAATCATCCTATCATACAGTTTCTCCATAATCAAAAATATAATAGTTAATTCACTTGATTTTCTTACTAAATACTTTGTTGAATTATTTTCTTCATAAACAGGTAGAACGAATGGAGAAAACAACACCAAGGTATGAAGAAAAATCAAATTTGATAAGTAACAGTACTGCTTGGGATAAGACTGGTATATCCAGCAGCGGCTGGGACAAAGTTGGGATGTCTGGGAGCCCGTGGGATAAACCAGGCATTTCTGGCATTACGTGGGATAAATCAGGAATTATTGGTAGTGGATGGGACAGACCAGGATGGGATAAAGCTCCCATGTCACTTGGTAGTGGCTGGGGTGAGAAGGCTAACAACAACAACAACAGTAACTGGAGACCAGCACCACCCCCTCCCCCTGTCACTCCACACTTCATAGAGACAGCTCTGCCAGCTGCCTCCAGGACCAGCAGCTTCTATTCCCAAGGGTAAGGAGGCTGTACATTTGAACGGGAGCATGTCACAGATTCTGGAAAAGGAATGTTTAAAACATGAGTAAGAGGCTGATTTTGTAATATTCATACTGAACTTCTGCAATGAAAGGAAGGTACAGAATGAGAAAGAATGTTTTATCATAAATGTTGGCATTCATAATTTTATTTATGAATTTACTGTTTGAATAGCTACTCTAATATAATTATTTTTGATTTTGTGAAATACGTATAGTGTGTCATTTTGAGTACTTAATGTCAAGTTGTCTGTACTAGAGCTTTTATTCTTTGAACCATTACTATATCATGGGACAGGAAGACTACTAATGAACAAGGGTCAGGACTAGGGACTGTAGTGTCATATGCTCAGGAGCATCTGCTTAGACTACACACAATGCTAGCTTGGAATTACACTAATTTTAATACATTTATATTGAACATTGACTAAGATTTCAGTCACAAATAATAATACAGCTTGCTACAGTGTTCTAATTAATGTAACTAAATTGTTTATTCTGGAAAGGTTATGAGCTAGGTGAACAAGACTCGTAGGAAAAACAAAAAACAAATATAAATGTTTTTTCTTTTTCCTGAAGTTACCAGTTTTATTTATTTTTTTTTTTTTGAGTGAGCTACTTCACCTCCCTGAACATACTCTACTGCTTAATTTGGTTTTAATTCAGAATCTTAAACTTTTAACAAATAATTTTCCGTTTTAACTTTTATCGTTTTCAAACTTAACCCGATACTGTTTTATTAAAGAATCAACATTGGCTTTATAAATACAAACCAAACACATAGGAATACTATTTAACAATTTCTTTTTTCTTCTTGACCCATGCACCTTTTAAAACAAATCCACTATAATCTACTTTTATTATGTATCAGACCATTCACTGACTTGAAACTTTTTTCAGAGTAACTGTATGAATATTACCAGTTGCATGTAATAAACATTACATTCCACCCATGAAATTTTCAGGTACACTGTGTGTGTGCATTGGTTTGATGAATGTGATTCTGTATTTCCAAATTTCTGATTCATGCCCTTTCCAAAAAAAAATAATTGAAATTCTAGAGCCAGTTTCTTTGTACAACCCTAATTGTAAGTTAAGTAGTAAGGGCACCCATTTCTTGTCCATGCTCTTAAATTGTACTATATTTAAATAATGAACTTTGTTATCTATTGAGAAAGTCATATATATATATATACAGGGTGTCCCAGGATGAATGGACCAAACTTCGGGAGGGTGTTCCTTATGTTAAAGTATGCCGATATAACCCAAAACACCTATGTACAAAGTTGAACGGTTACGGAGATAATGGCCCAAGAAAAGTGTGGCCTTCTAGCGGGTCCACGCACTGTACCTCTCAGCTGAGAGGCTTTATCTATGTTTGTCCTTGAGTGCCGTGATTCATCCTAGCCGTACTTATGTAGCTGGCTTTATCAGAACTCGCAGTCAGCACGTTATGTCAGCGCTTGCCATTCATGTGTCATGTATAGTGCTTGGAAACCCTGAGGACAATTATGACATGGCAAGCGAGTATTTTGTACTTCAATTTTATGGCTTCATGTCACTCACAAGTTAGTTTGATCTTATGTACATTATTAACGTTACAGAATCCACATATTCTTGCCAGTTTTAATATGTATTTTGTAATCAACATGTGTGCAACGCCAGTCAAAGTTTGACACTTCTCTGGCCATTATCTCCGTAACCGTTCAACTTTGTACATAGGTGTTTTGGGTTATATCGGCATACTTTAACATAAGGAACACCCTCCCGAAGTTTGGTCCATTCCTCCTGGGACACCCTGTATATATATATATATATATATTTGTGTTGACCAGTGGTCCTGTTATTTATCACTATATCACTGTGTAGTGATAACTTGATATATTAGACTGTTGCCAGAAAAATGCACTATTAGACTGATTGTTTAGCAACAACACCAAGAGAGAGAAATTGTGAATACTGTACAAAATTAAAGGAAATTGTGATGAAGTAATGCATCAGCAATGTAATTAATTACTCTCTGGATATTATGAGAGACTTACACGTGTGACTAAACTTCACAGACCCAATGCAGCGTTGCCACAACCAAGGTCACCTCCACCACCTATCCAGCCTGTGAAGACAAATCGGGATTTAGCAATGTACCAACACAACAATAAGCAACATCCCAACAACCATGATATGTTTACCAATGCGTATAACAGTAGTCAATATCATCAACTGTCTCAGCATTCAAATAATGCCTACAGAGGGAGGGACATGTTTGAACAGCCTGGAGGTGTAACAAGAATAGACAGAGACCGCCGGTCCTCTGTCTCAACACATCTGACTGATAGAATGGAGAGGATTGAGAGTGAGTATTGTTTCTAAGTCAGTCATTGTCACTTTGAATAATTGCACGGATAGTATGGGGAATAGACAAAAGTGTAAAGCACTTCTAATTTAGCTGAAATTAGTGATGCAAAATTGAAAATAAATGGCAGACATAAGATAAACTTTTTCTCATTTGCATCCAGTTGGTTTTCATTGTCTTTTGAATAGATTCTACACTGATGGAATGAACCAAATAAGTACATCAGTCTGTAATCTGATTTTTGTGGGCAGAGAGCTTATGCAATTCTATATATGGGTGTGTTCTCTTGATGCCTACCAGTCGAGGAATCTCCAGAATTTCTTCAGCCTGTGGACACAGCACCTCCTCTCATTATGGAGCGACGTGACCATGGCAAGAACCTAGAACTGGTGAAGACAAAGCTGTTCGGGCCAAGTAGTGCAGCATACTTCACATACAATAGAGTTACTTGGAGACTGAATGTCAGGAAAGAGGTGGGTTTTCATTATTCTCAAATGAATATTATTTCAATTCAGTTCAATATTGAATTTATTTCCATGGATTATTCATAATGTCATATGCAACTTATGAAGTGATGTGTAATGTGGTTGTTGATGTTAATCATAACTATCTCCATACAGTAGAGGCTTTCCTGAGAAGCTAATAGTTACTCACCTAGTCATGAAATTCCCTGCTTTTATGGAACCCAAAAGTTCCTTACCATGTTCATGAGGACCCATTGTGACCTAATGTAAGATTCTGTCATGGAATTTGCCCATAGGAATTGAGGAAATTCACATAATATCTTAATCAATATAGTCAGTCACTGGAATGAGATTTTAACCTGAGACTTCTTGAATATGAAGTAGGAATGGTGTCCATTTGATTGCAGCATTCATTAATATACAGTCGTGATCCTAGGAGAGGCATGTGTACTGTTTCCAGTCTTGTAGTATCCCATATCTCCAGTACACAGCCTTAAAGTAAAGTCTGAATCATCAGTAACAAAATTTAGGAATCTTTTTGTGAGCTAGAGTTCTGTTGCATTTGCAGGTGTTTGCACCAGGAGAGACATTGAGCAGTCCATTAGCTCTCCATCTGGTGTTCTGCCAAGTGGTACAGGACTGTCTTGGTCCAACCAATTGCATCAGAGTCACCAGAGAGCAACGTGCCAAAATGAGAAAGGTACAACAATACTCCACAATTTATTATAAATGGTAGAAAATACTATTATGGAAAATGAAGCATTTTTTATTTATTTGTTACAATGTGTTGCAGCTGCTGGACAGCTATGGTGTGACAGTAAACAATCTCCATTCATCACACCAGAAAGTCACGATCAAGAAGAACATTGTTGACATGGCAAAGGACTGGCCCATATACTTCTCCCGCATTTTCCCAGTCTCAGTAAGTTAAATGACATATTACGGTTATACTAAGCAGATTACTGTCAGAACCTTTTACCAGCCCACTTGAATTCACTATCCTGGAATTATTAGTATTTGTGTAAGATCTAAAAGTTTGTGACGATGGTAAATTGTTACAATTAATTTGTTGTTGGACATTATCCATCATCTTGTCTGTTCTTAAAAACCGTCCTGTTTCTTTTGTCCAGAGATAGGGGCTAGCTCTGTCTATTGGACCCAACTGAGTAGGTTTTACCTGAAGATTGGGACAGAAGCCAGTCCCCAAAACGTTGTGTTTTCTAAAAGAAACAGGACGGTTTTTTAAGAGCAGACAAGATGATGGAGAATGTCCAACAACATATTAATTGTAGTATTTCTTTGCTTATTTATTTTATTCTTTCACTGTTTCTCTTTAATTTCTTCCTTTCTGTCCTTATCTTCCTTCATTCCTTCACTCATTCTCTATTTCCTTCATTTTCTCTTTCACTTAACATGCTGGTTATGCAGTATGTTGCTCTAGTTAGCCCCCACTGTGGACAAAGGACTGCTTTGTATTGTCACGTATATGGAGTAACGTGATGAATAATGGTGGATTCTAGGTTGGATGAATGGCTTTATTGCATGTCTCTACTACAATTACACTCGATTATAACAGTTCACACATTTAACTTCTTCTGGATAACGAATCCCTCACTGTTGTCTGGTTCTTGCACCTCCAGTCTTCTTGAATTCTCTGTCTTGATGCCTGAATTTTGGGCTGAACTGATTTTAAGCGTGCCGAATATAGAACGCCCAGATGGATAGGTGATTCCTCTGTTCTCCATTGCCATGAAAATGTGTGTCAATTCATTGCTGTGAGAACAAGTGTTTACCTGGCCATTGCCTAGCAACAGACATCTCTGTTGTGCATGCCTGACTGTGCAATTCCAGCTTTCAGGTGTCATGTCACAGTATTTAAAAACTGGTTCCTTTCACCAAGATAATACACTGTAGTTTGGTACAGAGACCAGTCAGTTAGTGATGCATGGAGAAATAATTTTTGTGTATTTAGAGAACTAATTGAAAGAAATATATGTTGAGGGAAAAACCCTAAGTGATTGAAGCTTGAAGCAGGTGGCATATGTAGTTACTACATCATTATAAAGAGCTTAATATTTTAATAATATATATTCTGAAAAATGTACATATGAGCCATAAGTATGTGACAAATAAACCTATAGTTAATTTATGGTGTGGATTCTTGCTCTTGTTCTTCTGGCAAGTGTCTCCATTTATGATCTCGCTGATCTTCCTGGACTCTCTCCACACTGATGGCAGTGAAAAAATCCATTTTTGTAGTGGGTATATCTATAAGTTGGCAAAACTGCTATTTTTTATTGGGTTATGTGCATACTTATTTATCTGTAGTTTCTCTAGTAATGCTGTCTGTAACTCATGGCATGATATCGAACAAATTGGGTAAGACTGATTAATAAATTGGAAAACATGTGGATGGGAAATGGTCATGACCTCATTTAGGGTACTGTCCTGGCATGCCTGGAAGGACGGAGGAAAACAATGAAGGCTCGGTCAGGCTATTTGGTGTCGTGGCCAAAATTCAAACTGAACATGCCCTAAATATGTCAGAGTCGTTAGTGCATTAGCCAATTTACTTGGCCCTGCAGCTTAATGAGCATTCTGAACCAAAGCAGAAACTTAGAATTCCTCGCATTCACAAAGACGTGCTTTAAATAAAATTGAAGAATCAACACTGAATCCACCTTATTTTGCATATGAGACCTTTGCCACAGCAGTCCACTTCCTTATTCATAAATCATAAGGTCTCCACAGACTGTTGCAGTCTTTAAAAGTAGGAATTTGGAAAATGTATATAACATTCTGTAATTCTGACGTGTTGTTTCTAACAGATTTAAAAATGAACCAGCCTAATGGAAAGTTCTTACGAACACACCAGGCACTACATTCTAGGGTTGCTTTTCTCCTAAATCCTTTGAATACTATATCATGCTATCTTGTTATTCAGGGTGGGCATCAACATCCAGGCGTCCAGCAGCTGGCAGTTTCACATTCTGGTGTTCGACTAGTGCGTCGAGAGAAAGGACCCTCAGAAGATAACCTGCAGGTGCTAGATACATTCAGGTGAGTCCTATTAAATGTAATGTTTGTATTGGTTTATATCTTTAACATACGATGGGGTACCCAAAAGAAACCGAACTAATTTTTTTGTGGGAAGAGCTTTTGTAGTACTGCGTTTTGCCGCTATGAGCACATAGAGCTAACATTCCTGAGTCGATAAGCCGACTACCGTTGCTTCAGAAGGTAAGGACTAGTTTCGGCAGAGTTTATAGTGACAACTGTTTTGTGTGACCGTCGTTTTTGCAATGGCTGATTTTCATGAACAGCGTGCGGCAGTGAAATTCTGCTTTTTGCTCGGAAAAAGTGGAACAGAAACTCTTGAAATGTTAAAAACGGCGTACAAGGATGATGCTATGGGGAAAACTCAAGTGTCTGAGTGGTTTTCCCATTTAAAAAATGGTGAAATGTCAATTGATGACAAACCTCGTTCTGGTCGTCCTTCCACGGCCCGAACACGTGAAGATGTTGAAAAAATTCGTGAAATCATCAAGGAAGATCGGCGATGGACCATTGAAGAAATTGTGGAGCTGTCGGGAGTGACTTGGAGCTCAGCGGCCAGATTTGTGGNAAGCATCTCAAAAGATGAATTTAGACAATGTTTTGAAAAATGGAATAAAAGACTAGACAAGTGTATTAGTGTAAGTGGAGAGTACTTTGAAGGGGATTGAAGGTTTGTGCTTAAAATTTGAATAAATAAGTTTAAAAAAAAATAAGTTCGGTTTCTTTTGGGTACCCCTTCATATTATATACCTTTCATTTTAATTTTTGTGATTTGTACAATGTTTATCACCAGTCACATGTGGGAATATTTTATTTAGATTAGAAGTAGTTTTGTAATATCTAGCATAATTTCTCTGAATTCTAGGTGTTCAAGGATGTTGGGTGTATGGTTCAGGCATTGTACATGTACATGTTAAAGCTATATGACCAAAATATTCTGTTATTGTTGATGGAAACTTTTATCTTAAATTTTTATTTTAGATGATAATTTTGAGTGTATTGTGCTAGAGAGTAATTGTATTATGATGTAAACAAACATTGTCATATATTATAAGTCTTTTTGACAATTGTTTGATAGTATTAGCAAGATAAATTGACACAATTCTGTATCTAAGACATTAGCCTACTATAGATGTAATGGAATAAGGAAGAAATAATAATAACATATTATCTCAAATTAATTTCTTGCGTTTCATATATTATTATTCTTTTAACTTATAGACCTTGTTTATACACTTGTAAAGTTTTCATCAGTTAATATTATGACAGTGAACAAAAGCAGGCATGTAGAATACTGTCCCTTTGGATGTGCTGTCATGTAGTCTGGTAGATTATAGAGATATTTTGGACTGCCTCCATCTTCAGGAAAGAACAATCCACCCTGAAGAAGGAAGATGTCCAAAACATCCAGTCAATCAACCAAGCTGCAAAGCATCTTATCCCATAGTCACCATCATAAGAGCTTCAAATATCGCAAAGGCAATAAGCATGTTTTGCAGTGCCCATGATGGCAAAAATAATGTTTGTTTAACTGCATGCTGGCAGTTTACATGGCTGTCACAGTGAGTGTAGTGATAGGTAATGTGGAGAGAGTTCTAGTGATATTTCAAGTTTTGTAACCAAAACGAGACTTAAAATGAGATGTCTACAGATAGCTGATTCAAAAAATGATTCCAAAGTGATCATGATGCTGTTGGCATGTCCAGCAATACAACGCACGCAGTCACAAGGGAAGGACACAACACAGGACACAATATACACAAGAATATAGGAAGAGTACTCCCATAGGAAAGGATTGACATAACTCACAAATTTGAAGTGCGACATATAGCTGATAAATCTTGAAACGTTTTAATATATAAATTTTATTATTATACATGACAAATTTACATTTTAATAATTTTATAAAGGAGATATGATGGCATTCAGTGCAATGGTTTGACGTAAATAAAACCACACCTGAAGATGGCACATTAGTGCCGAAACATGTAGTGAAGAGAAAGGTGAAATTGTGTGCACTGTAAGACGGTTGGTACAAATACATATCATGAATGTGAATCAGTGCAACAGGACGCTAAAATATAACAAAAATAAATTTTGCTGATATTCTTACTGATGGTGACATTAATGACTAGTCACATACTGACAATGCCTCCAAATCTGGAGTCACCTGAGGACAGTCCTGTCATTACCAAGTATTAAATGCTGAAGAAAATGTGGGAATATAATAATGTAATCTTGGAATTTAATTCTTTGAAGTGTTATGTAAAGATGCAAGCTGATATTATCTACATATGTAATCAAAGTACAAAATTTGACCAAATCTCTGAAGTAGGCTGACATCACACCAACTGAAATCAGAAGAATTTGTGGTCTGCAGTATTGATTCTTAGTCAACGCATGAAGGGAACTATTTTGATAAATGTTACTTCTTGATAGGTACAAGACTTCTTCATATCCGAATGATTTTAAGTACAAATTGTATCAATGGTGAGATGAGAGATGCATGTGTTTTATTGTTTCAGTTTTGAAGAAATTGCTGAAACGTGCGTGCCAAAAGGAAGTGCATTACAGCTAGTGCTAACATCTGGTGTCCGCTTCTTACTGTATTCACATCGAGCTAACCAGATCCATACCATGATAGAGAAATATTGCCTTGACAACGAAAAGGTAGGGAAGGGACTTCACAATTTTTTTGCTCACATTTTGGTGTTGGGTTTGTTGCTGTGGATAATTCTGGACTACATAAAGAGAGTGTCCTGTTTTCAACCCAGGTTTTCAGTATGAATTTCAGTCAGGAATCTGGCTCTCCTGACCAAAGTTCCATGATTCAACCAGTTTCCTTGAAGTGGTTGTTTGGCTGGTTTGTAATGCCACAATTTTAAGATAATCTAGTTGGCACATTTGTGACAGTCTCCTTAGAGTATACCATGCCAAATTCTTTTCATGTCTTTTCCAACGATTATTTATCATCAGATATCATAATCAAGTGAGTAGCAATTCTGCTTTATATTTAGAAATTCCTGAGCACAAACTTAGAAACTGCCTATCCTGACTGAGGTTTTCTTGGTTTTCCATAGTTTTTGCAGAAAAATGCTGGGATAGTGTCTCTAATTAGACCATTACCACTTCCATGTCCTTTTTACTTTACTGTTCTGTGATCATTATACCACTGAATGTTATATGCTGTGGTCTGTTGTCATTAAGTGAAACCTAACAAATAACCAAACCATTTGTGGGGCTCTTAATGTGTAGTCTTGTCATTACTCCGATGACAACCCACTTCTTCAGAACAGTTTGTTGGCCCTGAAAAGGACCGTGGTTGATGAGATGCTTGACCGGTGAGGTAGTGCGGCGCGCGCCGGTAGGGAGAAAGGCTAGTTACGTTGAATGGACTGGCCACAGTGCAGCCGTGCCTGGAGGTTGCTTGGTTGCCGCGTGGCAGCGTGAGTTGGAGGTTGCTTGATCGCAGTGCGGCGTCTGCTGGTGAAAGGCTAGTCGTTGAGCGCGGTTGTAGGAGTCATGAGGCAGTGGCTACGCCAGATGCCCAGTGGGTCAGACAGTAACACGACCACCGGCAAGTCCAGGCGCGGTGCCCCAGTGAGTCGGGTGTGAGAGTGCCGGAGGGCCGAGGCAGTCGTGCCTGGCGCAGCCTGCCGATGCCTCCAAAGACCGAGCGCTGGTGACAAAGCCTGCTGGCTGGTGTTGCTTGATCATAGACTGAAGTCAACTGATGAACTGTATACTCGGCATTGGAGCTGCCCCTTTTTATACACTGCTTGGTGGGGCGGAGCGAAACTCGAAATTAAGGAGGAAGAATTGCTTGGCTAGCACGTGTAATGACGTAGATGCGGGCTAGCAGCGATCGCAGTATAAATACGAATGTTTGAAGCAATCTGATTGGTTAGCGCGCGTGATGGTGAAAAGTGATGTGAAGAGCGAGCGTTGCAGAAATGCGTGATAATGTGGGATGTTCCCACACATTATTCATATTTAATATAACTCTGTCAGATGTAACATTTTGCTTTATTCGTCCAGTATGTTTCATCTACAATATTTTGCATATCATCAGGGTTAACTTGCCATCATATTTTTAAACCAAGAATTAAGATTAAAACATATAATTGTAATCTTCATTAACTATGTTCAAATTGTTAATGACATTAGGATAAAGTTCAGGTTGTTAGAAGTGATGTGGAGAATGAAAAATTTGTTTCCTTCCTGTCATTCATTGCATCAAAGCATAAAAAGTAAAAGAAATGTTCTCCAAGCATTAAAACTTTTGTCTTTGATTAAAGTTCTTAATCCCTGTAATCTCCTGTACAATAAGTTCTCTCCCATGGGTGAAGATAGGTAGAATGTGAAACTGACCTGGTAACTCTTTCTTAATTCAAGATCCAAAATTTAACTCCCCTTTTCACCCCTTGTAAGCTGTCCATAATGCAGCAGACTCTGAATTACCCATTTGTAGACCATTTAGAACTTCTTAATTATTGAGTATAACTTCCGTTAATGATGTAAGTGTTGTCTACAGTATCTGTTTTATTAACATGTTTCAGTGATGCTTTACAAAAATGTAGTTGACTGTATATCTCCTCACACAGTTAGAAGTTCTGATTTATTATTTTATTCCTTTTTTTTGTCATATTATTAGACTAATTCAGCTGAGTACACTGTTAGCACAAGGAATGAGGACAGTTTTCATAGACTGGTTGCCAACTTCTCATGTTTTCAGAAAAGTTTTATTATGACAGCATAAGAATTTTCAGTAATGTACTATCTAGTCTCAAAAGTCTTATGAAGGAAAAGGCACAATTTAAAGTAGCATTGAAGTGACACTTACATATATGCTTCATTGATTAATTCTTATTGCTTAAAAAGTCTTAGTCTCAATGAATGTTTGCATAAGCAACATAAATGGACAGTACTGATATATGTATGTGGCTCTATTTGAAGCATTTGAGTACTTTGTATAAACTCTCTGTGTATTGCCATGTGAAATTTTAACTGGAAGTTCTGGAAGAATGAATCACCTACTTTCCTTTCACTATAATTTCAGTGTCTGGTTTGAGAAGTACAAAGAAAACTTTGGTATATATGTGCAATGAATTCGGTAAAACTATAGAGTTTGAAAGGCTGCATTCTGATGTTCCTGATGTAAGGGATTTATGAAGTATGTTATTGAGATTACTTCATGTGGTTCATACAAATGTGGTTCAGGGAAGATGGGTATATGCATTCAAACAATATTAAGGTTCTGGCAAAGAAATTTAGGAGACCGCAATTTTTGTATCGCTGACAGGAGGGATTTATGAATTATGCGGTTGAGTTGGGTTCACCTTCCATAATAAGCATACCAACTTTCATTAAGATTGGCTCATGCATTTAAAATTGTTATGGATAATACGCGTACAGACACACTGACAGCAAGATGATCTCATAAGCTACTGTTATTTTTTTAAGATAAAGAAAGCAGGCTAAAAATTGCTTCAGTTATACTGTACATGTATGGCTAATATTTTTTATGACTTATTCCATATTCTACAGTCATTTTTGACACTCACTGGGTTCATGGAAGGTCATACATACATACATACATACGTACATACAAACATACATATTTACATATATGCAACCATACATAGATACACATATATGTCATACGTGCACACACACACACACACACACACACACACACATACACACAGATGTGTACTGAACAAGATTGCTTTCTTCTGGGCGAAAGATATTTTTCTCAGTATTCAGTTATCGGTTGCATGACCAGTTGACTCTGTAGTCTATAGCCTCTTGCAGGTTTTAAGTTCATTAGATATAAATTATTTTGATTGTCAATTTTTAATTATCCATGCTCTTTCTCCCTACCATTATCAAGGATATGTGTGAGCTCACTGTACAGTGCTTATGCTCACAGATAGCTTCCCCTTTACATGGATACATCATCTTCATGGATTCATGTCATCAGGCTGTTCTGATGCCAGTGTTTGTATTCGGAATTGTTCTGTCCAGATTTGATGTCGTTTTCCTCATCTTTAACTACCATTTGTTGTACACAGATAAACTCCTATAACATAATTGCTTGCTCCCATTCACTTCGAACAGTTGATTCAATTTCTTTATTGTCAGCTATTTTACCCAACTTATCAACTATGTTTAATTATTCTCTGATTGTTTGCTTTCTAATGTTGTCCTATGGGTCATGATAACCCACAGGAACTTATTTTCAGACATTTAAATTGCATCTGTCTTGGTAGTCAACATGTTCAATATTTTGATTTGTATAGAATGTGAGGACAATCATTAATGTATAAAACCCTAAAAAGGTAGGACAGCACGGTTGGTATATTGAATTTCTGTGGGTTGGATGGGCAAATGTTCAGGGTTTAAGTCCTAGTAGGGCCAAGATTTTCTCCTTTCCATGTTGTCCAGACCGGTTCTGGGGCCCACCCAGCCACCTGTCTTAACAGGCACTAGGGGCTTTGTCCCAGGAGTAAAGTGGCTGGGGCATGAAGCTGACCACACACCTTCAACTACTGCCAATGTCAAGAATATTTGGATGTATACTTCCACTCCCCAATACATTTTCATGATGTACTACTTAATTAGTTAAGCACAGGGACAACTTTACCTTTATCCTTTAGACCAATGGAAGGTTAGGATTTGTTTGTGGTCTTTATATTGTGACATGTAGACTTTGTCCTGCATTCTAGTGACAATGCTTTGATCATGTACTTTGTTTTCTGTCTATGCAGTATTCCGAAACTATGTTACGGATAAAGCAAAACCCACACAATGTTGTGAAATGCAAGCAGAAATATCGGTAATACTAGTATACAATAGAAAAACTCAAATATGTCTTCCAAATTAGAAACAAACTTTGGTTAGCGAGTTCTCACAATCTTCTTTAATAAAGTTTCTAGGTGCTCATGTTTAGGAAAGTAATTTTGCATAATAAGTTTATTGAAACATAATGAATGGCATGTTTGATGTGCCAGTTCTTTACATAATGGGGGTCAGAAGTATAAGTACAATATCTTCTTTGAGGTTTCAAACTTGCAAAAGCACATATAAATGACTGACTACAGTTACATTCCCCTTTTGTAAAAACAGTGCTTCAGCATTAATTCTTGCATGCTTTTGCACTGAGTGGTCTTGCAAATGACTGACCATCTAACTGTAATCTTAGAGTTATGATGAGTGCTCATGTCTTGTACACCTTTTTTTGAATGTGTCAGCAGTTTGAGAATAACCATGCAACTCGACAGTTATGAATAAATTAATTGTAGCATGCTTTTAAATTATGATGGTGTTGCTATTGATTACATAGGAAATTAGTACATTATTTCAGTTGAAAGTTATAAAGTTGTCCCTTTGCTTAACTAATTAAGCACTATGCAATGAAGGTGTATGGGGGAGTGGATGTATAGTGTTTTCCTGGCTTCGGCACTAGCTGAAGGTGAGTGATCATATTCACACCCCAGTTGCTCTTCCCTGGTACTCACTGGATAGGAGGCTGGGTGTGTCCCAGAGCCAGTGTGGATGATGTGGAGAAGAGAAAGTTCTTGATCCTACCGGGACTCAAATCGTGACCCCTTAGTTGTCCATCCCATAGCCAGTCGCTATACCTACTACACTGTTCCATCTCTTCAGTT